GAATTACTCTCTTCTTCTACTTTCACTACTATTCGGCGAAGGAATCTCTGTAGTTTGCAGAATTGTTTTGAAATTTCTGTGAGAGAGAGAGAATTTGGACTTGGTGAGAGAGGGAGGAGGCGTGGCGAGAGTTTGTTGGTAAATAAAGAGAGAGAGAGAGAGAGAAGCGGTGGTGGTCGGGGGAGTGCGTGTGCTGCGTGTGGAGGTCATTGCCCTCACCACCACCTCCTCCTCTCTGCCCCCACCAGCATCGAAACGACACCACAAGTCAGCGCGCTGGCTTCCTTTCCCTCAGTCCCAAAACTACGTCCGACCCAGCCACACACGCACTTTTCATGCGTCTCCTCGCCTCCACCCACCCACCCAGCTAGCCAAGAAAACCAGCTATACTTTTAGTTTACCATTTTACAAGTGACCACTGTGATCAAGATGTGGTGGTGACCAAGACGCACGTTTTTGGATTGGATTTTCCGGAAATTTTGTAAGTTTTTATACTCGTTTCATGGCACGACTTTTAATTAAAGCTGTATCATACGTACGCTTTTTGAGGGGAGGATATCCTTATCAGAGCGAGAGAGATGTCGTTAGGAAAGTTTTTATCAGTTGTTTATTAGACTGGAGTTAATCCAGAAGAAGAAAAAGAGAAGAGGTTCATTTCAGAGTTCAATGGTCATTATCCAGGCTGGCTATGTTTCATCTCGGAACGAAATTATTTATCATCTAATTGCATACTACTAGTTGATGGAATATTTTCCCTCCAAATTGGTACAGGACGCAGGTAGTAGTTGTTGTTGTACATTATAAAAAAAAGATTCACCTCTTGCTTTCCATTCTTCAGTTTACTTTGTAATAAGAAGCATAAGAAGAAGAGTTGAATATCGCCTACGTACGTATTAATCCTGCTGGATGAGCTCGGTAGTTATAGCTTTGGTGGTACTGCATGGCGTTGGCGAGAAGAAGCGCAGCGAGCCACCACCACCAGCGATGCGATGAGATGCCGCATGGCAACTTCTCCTTCGAAGTTGTTGGAGTTCGAGCAAGAACACATCCGAACCATATAACTGGCAACCATCGGAGGTAGCGGAGGTCAGTCGAGAAACCGACGTGAGTCCCGTACCAACGACGCTCGCTCCCTCCTCCCATCAATAGAAAAACCATCCACTACCCTCCACCACACTTACTGTATACACAGGCAACTGAAAACCCTGGCAGTAGCTATACGACAGAGGCCTCAACCACACCCACCCAATCAACCACCACCTAGCAATAGGGATAGCAGTAGTGGTGGTGGTGGTGGTGGCCTCCTTCATATACAATCCTTCAACTGTGCTCTAACAAAAAGGTTGTTACAGTCCTTCGGTAAAATATTGGGTGAAAGTATTTTTGTGAAAAAGAATCTGGCTGATTCTCAAAGTGAAAAATTAAAGAGGAGAAGAAGAAAGCAAAAGTTGTTGGGAAAAGTTTCTTTGGGAAAGTGTACGAGCAAGCACTCACTCACTCACTCAAGATGAGACGAGAATAATACAACAAGGCTGAAAATTTCTCCTTCTGCTCATATTCAACTCAATTTCTCTCCTTCTCATACTTGTCTTGCACTAATGTGTGGCTGTATTATGGATGGATCGGGGGGTGAGATGAGACGAATGTTGAGTTCTCTCTCTGTATCGGGTGAGTCAACGAATTATTCCATTTTTTGAATGGCTTGTATGTAGTAGTAGAAAAGTTGGGCTGGACAAGTAGTACATATTTGATACTATGTTGTAATGTGTTGCATTCGAGGTTTGGTCAGTTGCATAAATTATATCTCTCAACTTTTTAAAATTTTTATCCTGCTCTTCTGTCCAGCAGCACTCGGTTCGTTGCTCTCTCACTTTAGTGAATTTAGAGCTCTCTCATTTCTTACAACACGCATCCGCAATTGTGCATATAGGGCGAGAATATATGGTGGCAGATGTCATGCTATCACTTTTTTTTTTAACTTTTTCAACTTTTTATCTCGTGAATCTCTCGAGTTGTTTGTAATATAAGCGTTAAATGATTTAATGGTGTTTTTATATATAGAAAATTAGATTTTGAGTGTAAATGCAACGAGATACATATGAGATACTAGCAAAAGAGCGTTCCATTTTCCGGATTTCATTCTATGGCTCATTCATGGGTATGGGTATGAGGGAAAGATATAGAGATTACAAAAGGATTGGATGGGTTACAATTTCTGTCTGTAAAGTAGATTTTGGCAGGATTTTGCAGTGGTAGGGTTGGCATTGGCAGTTTGGATTTAAATGGAAAGATGCCTGCATCGTTGTGGTGGTGGTTGCAAATAATTGAAGTGTTTCGTTTCGGAGGGAATTGCAGTGATGGGTTCACACTTACATAACAATAGAATGTAGGAGAGAAAGAGTGGGGAGGTAAAATGTTGGAAGGCAAATGATAGGATGTGGTGGCAAGCAAACATAATGGCCGTGTAAAAGTATGCATATGTACACGTGTCTCATGGAACTCTTTTAACTTTTGGTAATAGTTGTTGGTCGGTATCCATCCATCCATCTTTTCTAGTCCACTTTTTATCATCTCTTCTTCTTTTTCTTCTGTTACTTTTTCTTCCACCTAAGTATGTATATCATCCTCTTCTTTATTCCTTCATTCGCTGTTCCAAAAGCAGTGTTTTTATAGGGACACAGACACATCGACATCTCCTTTAAATCTCCAAATTTCAAATCACATCGGCAGTAGGGAAAGAATTTATGCAGTTTCCCATTTTTCATACGGTATGAGTGATCCCTTTTCTATAATGCATCAGAAAAAAATAGAGAGTAAGTTTTACGGAGAAAAAGTTTGGCGTTGTGTAGATGGAAAATAGTAGTATTAAATAGTGGCGTTGGATTGTGTTCGTATGTGTGAGTGGGATGATGGGCAAACTTGGTTTCGAATAGTAACTTCTTTTTAGGAGTCCTGCTGGTGTGAGACTCTTTGAAATCGTTGTAAGACCTAAGCTGCTGGAAAGTGGTGCCCTGGAGAAGTGCTGGCTGAGCATGCAGTTTAAAATGGTGTGCATGATGTGTATAAGAAAACGTAGGAGTAGAGAGTTTAAAATGTTGTGGTGGTACTGGACACCCCCAAATACACGAATGCATGAGAGTGGTTGAGTTTGATACGACGGGCGACGATGACGGAGGAACCTGTTTTTGAATTAGTATTCAAAGGTGAATTTTAGACTTTTGAGAAAGAGAGGGAGAGAGACCTGCATATGCATTAGGTATGAACAGGTGGGCAGGGGAGAAAAGGTATAATTATATCTGCCTGTTTACATAAGATTTTGCAACGGCCAACTCTGCTAACTCCAGAAGAAGTCGAAGAAGAAGGGCGAAAGAAACTGCAAGAGGTCCATTTTTAAGAAAGGGTTAAAGCTTTAAATTAGTGGTTGGTAACAACAACTTGCATGCAGTCATCAGTACCTTATGGCCCACATATACACACGATATGTACAGAGATGTATATAAAAAGCACAAAAAGCATAAGAAAGAACGAGTTAGAAGTCTCTGTATCAGGTTGTTTGTTGCCATTGTTGGCGCCATGGTGAGATGATGCCATGCAAGCTTGGCTAGGATGCTTGGGTATAATTCGCACAGGGGGAAAAGTGCGGGAGACAACGGCGTCGGTGCAGTGCAGGCCTCATCAGAACAGTTTTCTCCAAGTGATTGGCAAACTGGGCGGTTTTTGGATTTGCACAGGGGTTGGGCGGGGGCAGGCGAGTACGTTGTTTGGCTTTGGTTGGCTTCGTCGGGGTGGCTCGGTGTGCGAAATAGCATGGCATGGATGTGGAGTCGTTTGGCAATCTTGCCATACTTGGTGAGCGCGAGGAGAGGAGAGTGGTCGGGGGGGTCGGGAGAGAGTGTCGGGTGGCCAATTCGCAAATCTTCAGACTCACGCACTTGACTCCGTCGCATTAGCCAATCTCCCTCCATCCACTCCACCACCCTTTCTCTCATCGCTCCTCTTCAACCAACCACTACCACTTCCTCATTTTTGCAAAACCAAATTCCCCCTCTCATTCTCGAGAGGGGAACCTTCCGTTGGACCTCACTCTCTCATCACTCGTGGAAATAAACACTATTATTCTGTGAAATTTTGTTGATTGCAGTGTGCACAAAGTGGGTGTGGTGGTGATTTGTGTGGCGCATCGTCATCTCTTTACCATCATCCTGATCATCATCTCTGTGGTGTGGACATGCAAGGAAGATCTCACACAAAAGGACGCGCTGGTGCTGCTGCTAGTACTACCACTGCAAAAGACGTTCTCGTTCTCCCTCAAACGGTGATAATGCATAGGGGTGAGAAATGGACTTTGGCGTGCCTTAAAAGTCGTCAGTCTTTTTCTCTCTCCTATATCTGACACCGAATTTTCGACGAGGGCGCTGAATTTCCCTCAGTGAATCTGCGAAGGAAAGTGAGCGAGGGAGCGAACCAGCGGCGGACTCGTATTCTTCTGCCGTGTAATGTAATGAGGACAACAAACTGCGTCGTTCCGCCAACAAATGAAACCAAGCCATCGCATACAGTTATACACGTACGGTAACGCTTTCCACTGCTAGGACATCGCTACAACACCACACAAAACAACCTCATCATCACGTTTCGTTTTCTACTGTCCCAATAAAAAATAGCATTACGACATTACACATCGTCACTAATTCCCTCCAAAAATCTTTCCATGCACCTGAAACAAATAAAATAACTTATTGTGTTTCGCAAGCATCATTATGTTTTTCCAAGAGTTTCCCACACTGGATCAATTGAAAGATGCTGAACACAAGATGGAAACTTAAAAAATGGTAAAATTTTCTGAAATATGTAATATTGACGTTTGTAATAAATGTAATGCAACGTATCGATGTAGCCATGCGCACGTATGAATGTCTGTAATCTGTGTATGTATGTATGTATGTATGTATGTCCACATGCTTAATAAATGTGAATGATTTAAAAAATGAATGAATAAATGATTGTTTCTACCATTGCATATATTATTTTAATCGTATTTAAATCCTATGCATCTATAATAAGTAAGTAATGCAAGACACATATGTCGTCGTAGCTAGTGCATGCATTTAAAGCAAGTTTTTAAAGTTTGCATATTGGAGAGACCAAATCATCATCATCATCCGAATTGCGACCACGCCACGACTTCATGATCTCCTAATACTGGATAATGGCTTGAGTGGTTCAAAACTTCTTGCGTGGAAAATAAATATGTTACCCAAGAAGAATTTTTTCCCTTCACCGTGATTTCTTGGGAGTGCGAATTCCTGGGAAAAAATATGGGCTGACAGGTTGACCGTTGTTGGTTAGGTTAGGGCGCCAAAAAATGGCGATGGCGTGGCAAAACTGTTTGCCGCTTCTTAAAAACGTGCATCATTATCATCTCCAAAGTAAATGACGAGGTTTTGCATCATCATCATCATCATATAATCATCATCAAAGGCTTCATTCTATTTGTTGGTGGGTTGTATGTATAAGTTGGCAACTCTCAGACATTGCCAAAACCACTTCCAGCCATTCGTCCAAAGTTCACTAACGGACATTAGGTGAAATAATGTAACGAACATTTTTACATAACCAACAACAACCTAACCTAAACCTCCGTCCAATTCGCCAATCAGCAATGCAGACATCTACAAACTCCGGGATTTTTACACGCAGCCTCCTCCAATATTATGCCACCCAAAAGGCTTGGGTTTTACATATGGAGATGTTCCACTTGTCACACTTGGTCCTCCGATTGTGCAAATCTTCTGTCCCAGTAAAATATAATTCAATCAGAGACAATTTACGAACAATTTACATAATATTCAGTTCAAATCGTCCCAATTATCTAATTGCCACTTCTCCTCCTCCCACTAATCCTAACTGCAAATTATAATATCTAAGCCCATATATTGACGTCCAGATGGATATCTGAATTGGAAAGAAACATTAAAACTGAGCTCATTCATACCATTGTTTCACGTAATGTTGTCCCATTTGCAAAAATTTGTCATATTTATTTGGTTCAAAATGCCCTAATTGCTATTTATTTATATAGCTCAAAAAAATATATGTAGCAACAGGAATTCTGCATTTTTACTTGTGAGCCTAATTTCAAAACAATTTCGATCATTATGAAGTCAGTATAAAAGAGTTTGACTTACCTTAATTGTTCGTAATAATGAATGGGCTTAGTAATTTAGTGTTATGTGCCGAAAAATGAGCACAAATCAATACCAATAAGATTGTGCATATAAACGGTTTCACTGGCTTCAGCAGTCATGAGTCATCGTCATATCTATCCACTCCGAAATGTCGTCCGTCCTTTTACCGTACGGAAACTAAACCTATTTAGTGTACGTAATATGGAACTTCTTTGAGTAGGAAAACCTCCGCAAAACTCACCGCACCTTCACCTTTGTAAGTGCAAATATACCACGTTTCTGAATAGGTTATTGCGAACCAAGACTTAAAAATAGTATGGATGCAAAGTGCAATTATTGACCAGCATGGGGCGACAATCTGTATAGAAATTGAGTATAAATAATAATCTGAGCTGTACATATAATAGTTTAGCTAAATATTATTATTGTATTGTCATGACATGTATCACATAGTGTTGTGTTGTAGGAAAAGTGGATTAAGCGACTACTACGTCGTATATTGACACACTAACCTCAACAAAACATCTAATTACAGTTAACGCAGTGTAGCACCGCTTCAGCCCCATTCAACTCTGGGTAGGCAATGAGTATCTGTGTGTGGCACCTTTAACAGTGCATAATAATTTGTCCCTGCGTATTTAGTCCTCTATCTGCTCCAACTTTATTATCAATCTCTGATGAAAAACCATGTAAAGTTTCATCAAGTCAAGTGAACCATTTTCAAACCATTAGCCGGACTTGTAAACAAAACAATTATATTCTTCTCCTCATTCACAGTTCCGTTTTTGGTCTGCCTCTCCTGGGAACAAGTGTGAGATATAATAAATTTCATCCACAAGGATCCTTGCTTACTTACAACCTTATGTATGTAGGTTACACAGTAAATATTTCAATTTAGAATAATGCCTCAAAAAATTCAATATAGTCCAAATAACAGATATGCGAGTAACAGAGGATCCATACTAACAATAAATTTAAATGTTTGTGAGAAGTCGTAAGAAACCTGAATAGCCCATCAGATATAATTCGGACATAAATAATAAGCCGACTACTGCTCTTCCAGTAAACCTTTTTTAACTTTCCATCCAGCATGTGCATAAAAATAATATCGTGGTTTTATGGTCTTCGCAAGAGTTCGCATTACATTCTGCGGATGACTTTGAATTGCTTGCACAATAAATGGAGTAGAAATCACGCATTCGTGTAACTCAAATAAAGATAAGAAGATGCTGATTAAATGAAATGAAGAGTTAATATCAATAATAATATTTTAGCGTTATGGCAAAGTATGCCAGATGAGAAGTATTCAAATCCATACATAATGGCAGATACCTATGTACATAAGTACGTACGTAGATGTGTATGTGCAGCTCAAGTTTCATGAAGAATGTCGTAGTGATGCGTAGTAAATACATGACTTCGTATTTTTCCGGGTGCGTTGTGTTTTACAACATTAGCAAAAGTGCAGTCATATTTTTACCGATTCGAGGAAACTGAAGGGGAGAAAGTTTATCATTCTGCTGCAATTTCATCGAGACTGGTTTAGCTGCCTCTCGGTACGTGTGTGCTTATGGAGTACGTATGCAAAGAGGTAAAGGAGACAGATGAGTCATTAAATGTTGCAGTTTGCACAGGCAAAGCTGAGCAAACATAGAATTTCTTTATTTTCTGGGCGATTGTTTCTTCTTGAGTTGTGTGGAGAGCGGTGGAGAGAAGGGATTTGTTGCTAAGGCTGTTTTACACTATTCCATGGGATGGAAAAGGGTGGCTTTATGAGACTGATGAAAAAACAACGGGATTAAAAAGCTCCGGATTTTTGCTACTGCATTGCAATTCAATTCGCATACCCGTCACCCTCTCCTCCTCCTCTTGGTTGTGGTGGTAGGAGCGTGTTGAACACATTAGAGTTATTTACAGGAAACGAGCCACAAGCAAATTCGCTTCTTCTTTTCCTCTGTCCTCACTGGGTTATTATGCAGGACAAGCTTTGTTGCTGCCAATATGCTCACGGATTGTGTGTTCGCAGATATAAAGTGACGATGGTGGTGTAACTGCACTTTGCAAATACGAATACTACGGCCTATGGATGGATGGATGGATGGATGATGGGTCGGGTGGCCATTATGGGATTCTTGCTGACTGTATTGTGATGAGACGGGATGTTGTGCAAAATAAATGAAGAATTGTGAGCAATGCACAACTACATACAAATACATCCAACTTTTGCTGGCTGTTGTGCTGACTCAGCCAATCCCCCTTTTACCAAGAAATGTGAACACATAACGCAGGGTCCCCATGATTCACCGAGCTCGACAAAAACGCCCAAGTCAAACAACGTGTCCAAAAATGGTTACCAGATTTGCAAACGTCTCAACAACAGCGTTGTCATCAGCACGAATAATTTTTATGCCGCTGGATGGATGATAATCTTGCAACTTTGTGTGTCCTGATGAATTTTTCCTCTCTCTTTCTCTCGCGCTGGCTCTACCAACCAGATATAACCAGTTGCAAATTATTGTAAATTCAGGTGTCCAATGCCGCTTATTCTCTCTCTCTCTCTTAGAGTGCATCAATATTCTCACCCGAGAAAGCGTTGCTTTTAAAGAGCGAGTCTTAGCCATAATTTCTGATCAAATAGCTAATAAAACGCGCCAGGGAGGGAGGAGGGACGTACTTAATCGCGCGATCAGAGTGCGACCCATTTTGTAGTTGGTGGATGCATCAGTCGTAAATTGCGAACATTGAGCCAAGGAGATCTGGTCATTGCCTCCATTGCAGAAGAGTCCACTGCGCCTTCCGAGGTGGAACTTCAACACTGTGCGAATATTTTCACCCTCTTCTTCTCCCTACTAAACTAACTTCCCTTCTCGTAGCCACTCCCACCCTGCCGCAAAACTGGCCCCATAAAAACACGCACTTCTGCAACAAACCAACACATCATGGTCGCCGTTCCTTGGTTGCATTTACTATTTCTCCTTCTCCTCCTCCTCCTCCTTCTCTTCTGCTTTTTCTTCTCAGGGTTATTTTTATTTTAAGACCAAGTAATTGTTGTTGTGCGATGCATGTAGCAGATTCAGCCAACGCAAGCAAATAAAATATCACACCAGGAAGAAGTTGGTGGTGCGTGCTTCTGTTGCGGTTAAAATTGACATCACCAACCAACAAGCCAACCAACCAATCTCCATAATAATAATAATAATAATATAAGTGTGATGATGCGTTTGCTTCTCTTCTTCTTGGTCTTCGTGAGGTGTGTGTGTGCAGGAAATGTTTCATTATTTGTGGATGAATAAAACAAAAGTGGTTGAAGACGAGAGATGCTGAAGAGTCGGGAGCCCTCAGGGCGTGGGTATCGTTCCACCTCCAATACCGTAGGGGCGGCGGCGGTCAGTTCATGAACATTTTTTTTGGTACGAGTTTAAAATGGCAGAAACCGGAAAGAAACCACAAGGATGATGATATGATAATATAATGAATGCATTTAGACCGGAGCAGCAATAATCTTTATTCCCCTCGCCCCTCTCACCCCACCCACCAAGGATTGTTTGCAACCAACCACAATAATAGGTTCACGTATTAAGTATTATTTATTTCAGAGGTTGGTTGGTTCGTTGCTGCTGCTGCATTGTCGTCGGTTAATGCATGCACATCTCCTGGTAGGTATTGGCAATCTCGCAAAAATTGCACACAAGTACATACGTACGGATGAGCTATCTATCTGCTGTATGGCACGAAAACCAGTATTATTTGTTTACCTTTGCTTCTCATTTTTTCCTAGTGCACCAGCATAACCCAACCTGTCGGAGAGATAAATATCTGGGGTGATAGGACCAAAACATAGCGTAGTAGTAGTATACGAACGTAGTAATTATTTTTATCTCCACTCGTTACATGAGGATGATAATGTGTGTAGTGTAGCCCATAATGCCCATTGTTTCAGTTTCCTACGTACACACACCTCCGTCAATCTTAATTAAAACGAGCTAAATTAAAATAAGCAAACCCGTTTCACACGGTTACAGATTGAAACGAAATAATAAACTCCGCCGTTACTACACTCGCCATGCCATGGAGGAAGGGTGTATTGTTGCGCAGGAAGGCAATAATACATAAATACCTCTCAGAGGCTAAATAAATAAAGGTGGAGCATAATATGTTTCCATAAAGTTATTCCTTATCACCTATCACATCTTCTTCGTGGTGGTGACGGTTTGGCAGCCCATGTCCACGCAAAATTATGTGAAATCCAATTTTGACTACTGTGCGGGACAGTTCTGGACATAATCGGAGTCATAGGGCGACTTCGTAGGATTAGCGGCATGCAAAGTTCTGATGTACAATGTGTGGCGACAGGCTGTCGAAAGCTGGAGCATGTAAATACTTTCAACTTGAATTTTACTTTTATCGCCGTGTTCCCCTAAAATTTAGTCCTGTTGACAATTGGTACAAGCAGAGTTTATTTATATTTTATGCGAATTGTAAATTCATACAAGTACGAACTGTGCCCTGTCAGCCAGTCCCCTCCCTTCCTCCGCTGACACACACGCCAATAAAAATTACTCCAAATCATTCCCATTACTCTTAAACAGTGGTTTTGAATGTGAGCTGCTAAATGCGATTGAACTGTTGTATTTATTCTATGTACCTGCCAACCAACCACCCTCACTCGCAGTTCGTACTCGCAGTTCAGTTCATGCTTTCATGGGTGGTACTTTTACATCACAGGAAACAGAGCCAGTTTTGTGGCAAATAAAATTCTTTTTAAAAAAGAGAAGTTAAAAAAATGAGATACATGTATAAAACTTAATTTCTCAATAAAAATACACTACATTTTACGCACCCGTATCTCTTTTTCTCGGCAGTTGAAGTATATAATGACAACTTGTCAAGTTTTACCGATATTATCTCCACATGCAACTCAATTTCCAATCTTTGACAGAGATTTCGTATTACGATTTTCTTATTACGACAGGTAAAATTGTAACAAAAAACGATCACGGAATATGAAACGTCTTCTTCCTCCTGGTTTTGTGATAAAATGGCTTCTAGTTTAACGTTTTATGGTGGTGTGCACGTATATTTACATACAAAGGCTAAAAATAGCCATAATATTCTTTAGGGCTTCATACAATCTCAACTGGCTATGCACCCTTGGCAATTTTCTATTGAAATAATGTATTTATTTTCTTATTGAGATTGGATATTGGTTGCACATTCTGTTCATTTTGTCTCTTTTCTTGAATCTCAGCTTGTCATAATAATAATCATCATCATCATATTTATCAAAGAGGAGGCTCTTTTATGCCAAAAATAGTTAAACAAATACCCCCAGCCTTCTTCCACTTGGGATTGACGTGCCTGCACGTGCATTCAAAATGCGAACCTGTGAAGGGGAGTCCCCTCCCGTCAGTGTCCCCCTCACTTCATATGTACTCGGTGAGTACTAATCCCAAATACAAACTTACCACCTACAAAGCACGAGCTTTTAGAGTGATCATCAAATTCGCAATAAAACATTTATACGCGGAATCGCACTCTTATTATTATCAATAAAACCAGAATATATCAAAATAAAATCGATTCGAAACTCTTGTAGCAGAAAATAATTATCGCTCAAGTGTGGTTTTTTCGTCTCCCTACTTTTTGGGATCGAGTTCACGAGATTCGAGATCTATTTCTTTTTATTACCAGTTTTCACCATTGACAAAAATAATTCTGCGTGTCGGAACTAACAATTTATACAGAATCGTAAAAATGGCATGCATACTAACAATAATAGCGTCATCATTGCGAAAACACGAATAAATAGAATAATTTGTTTAAGATTCGCGAGGTCAGGTTTTTGGCATAGACTTTAAAACATTGAATACAAACCTGTATCCAAGTGGAAGTGTAATTCATGTATCTAATCCTAAGTAGTAAGTGGACACCTTGCACAGATTTTTATTCACATCGTGACTTTTTCCGACCCGAATCTTACCGGGATTTGGTGTAGCCAAAACACTCATCCAATGATATCCCTGTTGTTACTAACGGCTCCATGAAAATAGCATCTTTGATGTTAAAGAGGATGGCTCGAGGAGTTGTAATTTTGCGTGAATTGTGTGATTTCAAGTGAATGAATTAAACGAATAAACCCTGACGCTAACGAGTCTTGGCTTGGATATTAATTAGCTTGATATTTTACACCGGGCCGACATGTACGAATTCACTCGCAAAATGTTTACGAGTATCGCCTTTGTCTCATAAAGGTGCCTCAACGTCTCATTCATAAAGTCATTCAGCTCCGTTTGGTCTCACTTTCAATGTAAACTGTCTGGTTAATAAACTTCCACAACGGCTGCCAAAATTTTGCAGATGCAATAATCGTAGCTTTAAGTAAGTAAGAGTGAGGAGGAGCGAGCAAAATTATCCAAATATGTATGTATACACCACACATCATCACGAACTAGACGGCCTGGTGACTCTCGTAAACTGAGTCCAGACGACGACAAGATGAAGATATCGTATACAAGAGCGGACATTATCGTCACATTAAATATGTTAACTGATTCCAAGTAAGTGACTGATTTTTGATCCTCTTTTTATAAAATGTGTGTACACATCATTTTACATACAGCGAGAGTTGAGCCATGAAGTTCTTATTGGTGGACGAATATCCACATAACGTAAATACTTATAATTCGTGACAACTGACCGACTACTACGCATCGACATTTTATAATTTGTTCTCACATTTAATAAGCAGTTTTAATTCTTCGTGTTGTGATGGACTGTGTCATGAGCAATCCGATACGAGACGACGACGAACCTTGAGTTTTGCTATCCCTTTCACAAAAATCCAGCCAGCCAGACTGGATAGAGATATTTATGTACATGGGAATGAGGTTTGTTTCCCTTGTACTGTAAGCTTTTATCAAAAAATGACAGATATGCGGAATTGGATAAGCGAATAACGTGCTTAACAACATTTCGTACATTATTACACACATTCTGTTGCAACGGAGTGAGTAGTGCCAGAAGAGTGAGATGAAGTCATGCTATTTTTCGGCGTTGATGCTCCCTGTCTGGCTGTTCATTTGTGGAGCAGCAGACGGAGATTTCCTTGGTCTCCTGATAACCCGTCCATTGTCCTGACCCTCTTCACACTAAAAACTCATCATGTCGATAACATTTTATTTGAACGCTCGCAATTTCTACACACATCGCATATTCTCTCTGCTCCTCTCTGACCCAGTTTCAACAGTCTTTCCAAATGGAACTGGGTGTAGATTATTGTCCCCTCAATTAAGTTTACATGTGAACCAGGGCTTTCTACATATATTATGCGACGATGCGTGATATTGAGGATGGGTGATGTTGTAACTGACGTACATATCTTTAATGACGAGTAAAGTACACATGAAACAATTCGCACATACGCAGTCATTATTTTTTATGGATGGATGGCTTGTCATTTATTCAACTATAATTCATTACTTAAAAACAATGTTTCAAACGAAATCTACGTATATTTAAAACTTGCGCCACCCATCGGATAATCCATAACATCAAAAAATCCATCAAATCTAGATTGGTCCAACGTCCGCACTCATAAAATTGGTGATGTCTTTATTCCCTCTATTTTCGTGTAATAAAGGGTGCACCAGCTTTTTGTCTCAAAAGATTCTTCTGACCATCCACATAGTTATCATCGAGACAGGCCATGACGATGCTGTTGTGCTGGCCTTTCGTCGACTTTAATGGCCCCAACCTAATTCCAAAACCGCAATCGCACAAAACTTCTCCCAATGATTCAAATCTGTCACAAATCATTACACGATACTTCAATTTGAAATTGAATTTTAGATGGATTTCATATCTGGCTGGAACTCACTTGTAGTCTTGCTTCTCGTCCTGAGTAATGACTTCATACACAGCATCAATTCCAATGGAGGTGAAGAAATTGCAGAGGAGAACTGACTCACTCATTGAATTGACGATGCTGTTTAAGGCCGAAATGCGACCAACGGAGGGTCGCCATTTACCGGCTTCTGGGTTCCAGCAAAGCTCTTGGTTAAAATCTTGAAGTTCTAGGACAGAAGCAGAGGCAGGCATCCACACGTAGTAGATTGGCACTTGCTGAAATTAGGGTGAAATAATACCGACATTGGCCATTTGAAAAACAATAATCGTTGTACAATGTTAAATATATTTTGTAACATACATAATTCCAGGCATTCATATATTTCATGAAAGTGTCTCCTGCGTCACTTGACCACTGGCGTCCTACGCTTGGAACGAGAAACCGAGAATCCAGATGAACGCGGAAAGCGAAACCTGGAATTTTCTGAAAGTATGCTGGAAGGTAGCGTGTGAAGTGCTCTTTTATGGAAATATCCGATCCGTAGTCCACCAGAATAACCTATGAACGAGTCTTATAATTAGTTATTCGTCGTATTTTTTGAATAGCTAGTAATATTGAAAGACTCATAGTGCAATTTTTGCATACCTTCAAAAGTTTGACACTGTGAAGGACATGGCGTACCACGCCTCGGACCCATGTAGGTTCTTGATTAGGGGTAATTTGAATCTGAACCGCAATGGCAAGGCCTGCCTTCACACAATTGTATTGAATCGACTCTTCATTTTCGACCATGAGACTCAGAGCAGTTTCCATTTCTCGCAAATCATTGATATTGTTCTCCAACTGGACGTACATCACGCTGGGACAGGACATGTGAGAAAATCTGACCTGACACATTGCATTCTTGTAAGTGTTGGGAAGATGGAAAAAGAGATCTGCAAATTAATAATGTATTTCAACTATGAATTTCAGTGAGTATCTAGCAGAAAATATTTAATTGTATAACCATCACCTTTGGACTCATCATGCTTGGTACACATATCCGGAGCAAATAAGTCATACTGGGTTGACACAAAAATATCAGCCAAGTTCATCTCCTTTTTTCTTAATGTCTCTGACGTGGCCATTGCCGTCTTTAATGTCTCTTGAACAAGTTGTACACTTGGCTTTTTGAGGACTTTCCCAGTAGCTATAGCGAAAGCGTTATTCGATTCATTTCCAAAAGATTGTATGTCAAATCGCCCAATTTTTTCACCCAAAGCTTCCAACATCCCTGCATATCCGGCTCTACATAAAATACAATTCAAAGAGTTTCTGGCTCATTAAATAATCTGGTGTACATACACACAAATGCACATCAAAGCATTATTAGAAGTATTTTGTCCACTGCTTACAAACAACCAGTTGCCTCTGCAAACCCAGCCTTGACCAATTCTGCCTGAACGGTGATATTCTTCCAAGGATTTCTCTGCATCATGACCACTCCGAGGTACTCGCTAACTTCTGGAAACCCTTCAGGGAAAGGTATCTGAGATCTTGTGATGACAATCGTCGCAAAGCTTTTGCCCTCCACCAAACGTTTAAAGTAATTAACTGCCTCTGGTGACCAATATTTGTCCCCATTTGGAGGTTGGATGTTGAGCAAGTGGGTAGGAAACCCATACGCAGCAGATATCTAGATAGATATTAACATTAGCAAAAAAAGCATACATTTGCATATCATATTTAGCTTCACGCAAATAAGGCTACTTTTTGAAATGCAAATAAAATAAATTACACAAAAGTCTGGGTTGAGTTCCATTATTGATGATTTTGGTACAATTCGAAATTCATCTTGCTCAAACATGAAGACTTCCGCAATTTTTTTCTTCGTGCAATATTTCATCACGCGCACTCTTTCCCACAAGCCAGTCTCGGGATCATGGTACGCGTAACAGCGGTACTTGAATAGAATGGATGTTTTCTGCATAATAATTATCGCATTATGCAGTTATATTTTTCAGCCGTAATTTTAATAAGGGTATAATTAAAAGCCTTAATTAAGAGAGAGAGGTATGTACGAACCACTTGATACATTTCTAGGCCTGGGTCTTGGTCATTGTTGTAAAAGTTCTGCATGGCCGCTTTCCAGTCTTTGAAGCTATGGATTACATTTCTCATGTCAAACTCCGTGTAGAACATGTAAGGCGTCACGACCTTGTCCACACGTAAGTGGCGGATTCCCCGGGTTGGGTGTTCTCGATACTTTTTAATATCAACTTCGGCATGAGTGTACAACTATAAAATAATTAGTAAATTGTCATTAATTATTAATTAGCCGATCGTATGAATGTGAGAATGGAGGAGTCGAATGGCTGGATTTTCATACCAGTTTGTAAGAATCGTCGCCATCGACGGGGTTGTCTGATTCATAAAATATGACCGGTTGCTCCGCAGATGTTTCAGAAGGACCATTACTGGATCGAGTTTCAAATTGGTTGCAAGTGGCCATGATCTCGATAAATTGGGAAACTAAATCAATAAACGTAAGATAAAATGTCAGACGGGAGACGAAGACCAATGCATGCGGAGGAAAAGAAGGTATGTTTCAGACTAAAATTGAAATTGATGTGTTCCTTAATTTCATTCCTTGTCAATGGTTTCAAGGGTATGGAAATTAAAGATAGTCATATATTTCCTTCCTTCGTCCAAGTCCTGCTTTTCTCCCTCGCGATCATACGTATTTGCATTAATATTCTAAATGGATGGGTAGATGGATGGATGGTCGGAGGCCAGTTAGTTATGCATATTGGTTGTGAATATAGCTCCTCAAGAAGAGTAGTAGTGGCACCTTGGGACGTGGGGTGGTTGACCATGTCTGCATGCATCTAAATAAAATGAGTTGGGAATGACGTGACCAAGACAAATAAATGAGAAAATGCAAATTAGACAAATGCACACGAGAACAGAACATCCGAATCAGAGTATTGGTATCATCATGGACTCGAGTTTTCGAATTCTTGGCACCAACTTGGATGAATCAAATGGGAGATGTACATTCTAAAAATAGGAACGCGCCCATTGTTTGTGATGGATAAGCAAGCGTCTGAGGTCACTTGCCAAAATTCCAATGCACAAAAAAATGGCACGCATTCTCCTCTTTTCTTCTTTCCCAAATATAGTGAGACTCGCTTGTTTTCGTCGTCATCCTCGTTATGCCACACACACTCATACACACACTCGACGCTGACTTATATAACTCTGAGACGATAATACGCAGGGGTGGGCAAGATACTTTGGTCGTAAGATACAAGATACAAGATAAGATACTTTCTAGGATAAGATATAAGATACAAGATAAAAGATACATCTTGTTCAAGTACACAAGATACAAGATACAAGATACTTTCCTAAAGATTGAGTAGTCAAGATACAAGATACAAGATATGTATCTTAAGATACTTTTATACTAGATAAGATACTTTCTTTTTTTAGCTTGGTATTCATGCCCAATTGGTCATGTTTAATAATTTAAACGAAAAAATTTAGTGAGTACAAAATTTAAAATCATTCTATAATCATCTTACAAATTTTGTAGCCAGTGCTTATACTTCGAAAAATTTCGAAAAACTAGAACTCTACCTAACATACACATTTTTAAGAAGTTGGTATTATTTTTACAATATTCCCTGCTTATCTAAACCCTATAAGATATATACACTAGTTCAGCGTAGGTACATATCATGTAATGTGCATGTATGTGTACAAATGTACGAGTACAAATGAACATATATACATATACATATATATATATATATATGTACATATGTATGCATGTAGAAGTTTTTTACAAATTGGCAAAACATAAACTAAAAATTCACCAAATTCTGGTTCCGACAAATTCATGGTCAAATTGACTGTAGAACGAAATTGACTTTGACTTAAGAATTTGACGGAATTTTGAGAAAAAGTATCTTGTATCTTGACAAAACTATCTTAAGATACTTTTCTGCCAGGCATATCTAGATAAGGTACTTACACAAGATACTATTCGACTTTCTAAAAGATACAAGATACAAGATACAAGATACTTCTCTGATCAGGCGACCAAGATACAAGATAAAGATACTATCTTGTATCTTGTATTTTTTATCTTGACCAAGTATCTTGCCCACCCCTGATAATACGTAATGTATAATGATGATAATGATGGTATTGATAGTTATGCCATGGAGGAAAACAAATGACACAATTACAATATTTTAAAATACTAATTTCGTATATTTCAATATTTCTCTGATCTTTCGTCATAATATCATTTCACTTTTATTATTAGCATAGGTATATACACGTGTTATATATATAGTTATCGGATTTCGTTCAGTGCATTATACAACTTTTGCAATAATAAGTACGTAATATCAAATAAAGAGAAAACTAACCTGTCGACGCCAATGAAAAAATGTCACAGACGTAATAGTTCAAGTCATAAACAATAAAAATAGGTAATTCTCAAAATAATTTGTCAAGAACTTATGACTAAACAACTGAAAGCTGTGTAATGTGATCCGGTTGTTGACCATTCTCAACGCGCTCCCACATTTTTAAATACAATTTCTCCAAGTCTGCAGCATAATTAGCGGCGTCAAACAAAGTTGACTCCATCCTTCCTTGCCATACTTTCGCTCTGATTCCTCTCAAACTGTAATGTAAAAAAAGTGATTACAAGCTTGTTCTTGGTTAAGTTAAATTCTGAGTGGCAGATTAGTCTTTAATGTGCATGGGTATGCACATTCTCGGCAGATTTTAGCTAGAACACATTTAAATTGTCGAATTGCAAAACTTACAATTCACGATCCGTTCCCAGCCGGACAGCTATTTCTTCGTAATCTTCACGACTTTTTGCGATAAGTTCACCTACACCCAAGCATTTCAACTGAGACGCTGCAACACGAGATGCAAGACTTTCTAATGGCAACGTGATAACAGGCGTTCCTGCCCAAAGGACGTCCATCGATGTTGTGTGTCCATTGCACAATGGAGTGTCCAGACAGATGTCAACCAGTTGCCCCCTCCTTACGTGCTCTTCTTTCGCAGCAACGTTACTGAATATAATTTTACCAGGTGGCAAGCCCCAGGCTGTCGCAGTGGAGAGAATATTGGTTTCTCCTACTGCTGGGAATCTTAATAGCCATAGAACCCCATTGGGAACCCTCTTTAATATCTGAGTAATTAGATAAAATAGAATATATTAGACATACATAATTTTTAAAAAATACGTGTTCTTTATGTATATATGAGAGAAGTTTGATAACAGCTTAGAAAACTGGACGTAAGTTACAGAAAAAAATCCTTTCTTGTGATTAGGGAGTTGGAAAAATCACACGTTTGAAATTTATTATATGGAAATCGTAAAAAAACAATACTCTAAAATGTTGTCAAACTCTCACTGCAAATAAAAAATGTAAAAAATAGTATCACTTACATTAACCCACATCTTGAGGGTAGCAGGATCAATTTTGTATAATTGATTAAAGTTACAATAAACAACCGCATCCTCTGGTAACCCATACTGTACTCTAGTTGTAACAAGAATGCTTTGTGGAACTTCCTCCCCAGTAGCTGCTTTGTTGTTGGTTTGTGGAGTCGCCAAACCATTTTGTAGAAGCAATCCATTTACGGTAGTGTGCACGTGGCCAGATCTAATCATGGTCTGTTAAACATTTCACCAACAATTAACATTATCCAGCAATCAAAGGGTACGATTTTGCAATCATGAATCAAAGTAAACTTACATCGATCGCTGAAGAGTTTGGTAGTTCTGCTACTTTTAGAGAAATTGATACCGACGTTGTTGCTGTGCTATCAGGTGACGATGTTACTTGCACCGTTTCTTTAATTTCCCTCACATCTGCATGCCTCAAGACAGGGCTCAAATCTGGAGCATTAATTACCGTTACATTATCAGCGGGGACACCACCATTCTGTAAGTGAAACATCAAAATTAAAATAGGAATTCCCCACTAATTTCATCGGCATTAACGCGCATTTTATTATTTACTTTAGAATCAGATTGTCCGACAACAACTCGTTCCGTTAGATGAGGAAACATTTGCTTGTGGTCACCAATAAAATATGTATAGGGCATGTAAGCAAATTTTTCGCTATAATGACTTTGGAATTCCATCGGCGAAGTCGTTCTGTCGGTTATGATGTAATCCATGTAGGTAGCACCACTAGATCCAGGGTATCCGAGCCACATAACTTGAATAGGAGCTGGCTTCAAAGCAAAGATTTCATTCCTTGCTCCCTTTGTGTATCCATTCATATTCACCAACACGTGAACTCCATCCGCATGAATTTTATCGGCTGCTTTCCCATTGCACATAATCTGAAAATGTAATGATATTTTTTATGATGGTATTGTTATTATTGTAAGTAAGCCATTTCATAAATTCAACAATATTTTTTTTTAAAAAGAAGGAAACCTTACTCCTGATAAATCAACAAAATGTTCCGCTTTCGTAGCAATGTTCGCTCGGAATGTGGTTGCATCATCTGGGCTTAGTGCGTAACAAAATATTTCGACATTGTCGCGATTATGAAATCCTGGGATGGATTGCATCAAATGAGACGTCGGATGGTTGCCAAAGTCAGATGAGACGTAACCAATTCGCAATCTAGCTCTACCAAGATTTACAGGATATGGATAAGGCAACTTGTGCAAAACCGTCACCTAAGAAGAGTAACAACATTTAAATTCGAACCATGTGTTTGCAGGTTGTCGAGTTATTCACTACATAAACAAACACTAATCAATGCTATTTGATTTACAACTAACCTTGTCGGCACACATCAACGCATGCTTTCCTGCAATTAGTTTACGTTGCTCATGAGTCAGGGGATACAGCATAGAATGATGTGGATGGACTGATGGGAGACGATTTTTCTCCAATTGGTCAGCAACAATCTTAACCTATTAAAACAGAATAATATAGAATAATAAACAACGAATTTATATCATTACAAAAACTAATAAGCCTTGAATAATAATTAATAACTTACCAATTTTTCCATCCTTTCTTCATAATCTGACCAATCACAAATAATTTGCAAGCAATGAACCAAGTTGCAATATGCATCTGGAAAATCTGGTTTCAATTTAAGTGCTGTTCTGTAAGACTGAATTGCTTCAGGTATATTTCCAGAATCCTTGTGAATCGATGCCAAATTAGAATGTGCATCTGCGAATGCCGGATTGATCTGAATTGCTCTAGAATAGCATGTTAGAGCTCCAGCAATGTCTTGCATTTCCTTCAGCGTGTTTCCCATGTTGCTGTAAGCATCAGCAAATGTAGGTTGGATTCGAATAGCTTCTTTATAATGCATGAGAGCCTCCGTGAGTTTCCCTTGTTGTTGTAGAACGGAAGCTAAATTTGAATGAGCTGCAGCAAATTCTGGAAAGACTTCAAGGGCCTTGTTATACAAAGCAGTGGCTTCTTCAATCGACCCCTGTTCCCTCTTGATGTTTGCCAAGTTGTTGAGAGAGTCGGCGTGTGTGGGACATAGTCGAAGTGCCGTGTTGTAGCAGTCCTCCGCTTCCTTTACCAAACCCTTCTCCTTCAATGCATTCGCCAAGTTGCAGTAGGCGTCAGGGAAATTTGCTTGTAGCTCAATGGCCTTTTTGTATGTTTCAATTGCCAAATCCGTAAATCTGATAATAGTTTTAGAGGAAAATTAAAATTTTGATTGTCCTCTTTCTTCAATACATTATGTTTTCAGAATGTATGAAATCAAAGTAAATTACTTACCCTTGTTCATAATACACACAGGCAAGGTTCCCGTGAACCACGGCGTTATTTGGGCTTAAGTTAAGAGCCCGCAAATATGCAGCCACGGCACTAAAAGTTTTAATTTGCAATATGAGTTGAGATAATACTTTGTGTAGGTAATAAATAATTAATTATAGTTAAATATACCGATCAAATATCCGAGCTTCTTTGAGCACATTGCCGAGATTAATGTAAGCATCCAAAAAGTTTGGGTCTAACGTCACTGCTTTCTCGAAATGGTGCAACGCGAGCCATATTTCTCCCAGAGCGTTGAAGACGCATCCAAGATTACTCCACGCAACGGCAAAGTCCGGTCTGGTCTCGATGGCTTTGAGGTAGCAGGCCTTGAGTTGTGAAAATGAGAGTGAAGAAGGGGGCATTTGGTAATCGGGGGCAAGGTCAGTTCAGTCGATTGAGGTAAATGAGGTAGTAGGAGGTCAATGATATCGAGTGAGAGGAGGAGTAGGAGTAAATCAAAGAAAAATCAATTAGCTCAACCCTTCCAATTTTCACTTTATAAATCAATGATGAATTCTAAAAAAATAAGATAACGAATATTTTCTTTTGCCATATCAGTTCAGAAAATGTTTCATATTTCTTTCTTAAGAAGTACGTAGCACGACGCGATGAGTAACCAAACTATTTCTTTTTTTTCAGAGATGAAACAGCGCAGCGCACAATTGCATGCAATTTTCTCACGTAATAATTATAATCATAATAATAATAAGAATAATAAGTCAAAGAGCGCGACACTATTGAGCAGTGATCCGTGGAGGAGCAGCGTTTCCTTGAGCGCGACGCGCAACCTAACAACGACGACTATAGCGCAGCGCATTCCCTACGATAAGAGCGCAAACCCTGTAACCGGGTTTTAAGTTATAAAATGTAGAGCGCGAGGAACCTGAAATTTTTAGCAAAGGAGCGCACAAGGCTTTATAAAACACGATAGCAGCGCGCGCGCATTATTCGGTCTTCAATTTTTCTTGTTTGATCAATCATTGCGGCTTGGAGCGTTGCGTTGCGTTGCGAGAGCGCGGCGCGAGAGTGGTGGTGTGACAACGGAGTAAGGATTTTAAGGATTCGTGGATAATAGGAGGACCAAGATTGCAGATAGGATCTGAACTGAGAGAAAATCGCATTTGCGAGAATAATACTAATATGTTTATCGTAGTCTTATAAAAAGGAGAGGTAGAAGGAGGAGGAGAAGGAGAATGGAATCGGAATGGATAATAAACCTTGCATCCACGTTGTATTTCTTACAACAATTAGGTATTTATATGTAGGTACAACGTGTACTAATCGGTGGGTATATTGCAGCGCGTGGATATAAGGTGGTGACAAAGAGGGGGAGTGGAGCGATATTAAAGTATGGAAATTTGAGCAGTAGAGAGAATAATTATAGTAATTACCATGATATAAACTAAGATTGGGCAACAACAACGCTAAGATCGACTTGTTGATTATGGATAGAGGATGGATAGGACAAGGTTGTCGCTGCTTTCCGCCATATTCAATTCTTGGCAACAGAGAAACACCATGCACCACGACAAGGCGCGACGACCGACGAGACGGTGCTGACGGTGACGTGTTGGAGATCATCTTGGTGGAGGACACGATGTGCTTGGCGGTAAGAGAAGAGACGAGCGCTCGAGTACTATGAGGTAGTAGTGCAAGTCAAGGATGGCCTATCTACCTCTCCTAACTTACCCGAACAATCACAAAAATGAAATGTGTCATTAGTAAAGGTCAACTCCTCTCTTTCATCCCCAGCAACACCAGAGTAAGAACAATCAAAGCACCTAACAGCTCAAGTCTTTTGTATGAAGAGTCCAAGATGCACTTTAGAGATGAGTAGTTGGGCACGGTCGCCCTACGTCACCGCCAAAGATCATTTTGGAATCCAATACACCAGACGACAAGGTTGAAGAAAAGCGAAGTAATGGATCCCATGCACTGAACCGCCTTCCGTATCTTCCGAATGGGCTGGCACCGTTCCAGTCTCTATTCCTTTGTTTTTAATAACCACGGCTCACTTCTCCTTTGAAGTTTAATTCGAAAAAAACTAATAAATAAAATCAAAATATTTTTTTACAATCATGAATCAGTGAGCTTAGGTCAACGCGAGCGAGCGCATGCATGTGGGTTGTTACTTATCTGCATAGTTTTGGTCCATAGCAGCGCGCGCGGTAGTTTGGAGCCACAGAGGGCGAAAGAAAAGGTACAAATGCCACTACATACAATATCGTTTCTGGAAAAAAATCCATGTTCCACTGATTAATTAAAATAAGATATTCATATGTAGTTTTAATACATATTCAGCTTGAACATTTTGGACTATTTCGACCAAAAACCATACACAAGAACTTTAATGCACCCAAAAACTGTTAAGAACAGTAAGCGACAGAATATAAGAGAATTCTAGATCCTTCCTCTGTACAGCAAATGAATCGGCAAGGAGGCGATGACACCAATGATGATGATGGTGATCCATCGTCCAGAAAATCCAGTCAGGATGAGTGAGCAAGCGCTTTTCATTCGAAGATCTGGAGCGTTGGTGTAGGGCGGCGGCGCAGCAGCAGCGCGATGCGTTTTGGTGTTAGCGAGCAATGATGTGTGTATGATACGCACAACGAACCAGCAATTCGATGTTTTTTTTGCCAACCCACAGCAATTTTGAATTTCTATAAACTAGGCTAATCCATCATTCTGTGAAGACAGGAACTAACCACACGAGTCCTGGTGAGCCCATTTGGAATCAACAACGGAGCAGATTTGAAATATTGACAGCTAATATTCAGGAAAATTCAGACAGTGCCAGAACAAACATTACTTCCCAGTTTCCTCAGCTAACCGATCTTTTGCAATTTACTTTATATTATATAGAAGCCTCTTGTAGAAGTAGGTTTTCTTACAGAACCCACGTATTTGCAATGTTGCACTAATTCGATTTTTTTCTTTTTTATCAGCTTCTTGTTTCTAAGTTATGATTGGAGCTGACTCATATGAACATAATTTAACAATTACCTTCGCCTCATCAAGCCGCCCTAGTGCTTTTAACAAATTTCCCAGATCACTACGTACGCAGTAAAGTTCCTAAAAAGAGAACAAACAAATCAAATAGGTCCTCCAAATCAGAACTTTCGACGATAAAAATTCGCCCCTATATAAACTCTCTCCTTACTGGGTTGTACTGAAGCGCCGTGACGTATGCTTGCACAGCTTGTTCCATTTCGCCAGCTGCGACCAGTGCGGCGGCGAGATTAATATATCCGTCGATAAAGTCGGGCTTGAGTCGAACTGCGTGACGATAACTTTCCAGCGCCTCCTGCAACTGACCCTTCTCTTTATACACGTTTCCCAAGTTGGAGTACGCCTCCGCCAACATTGGATTCTGCTTGATGGCCAAACTGCTGTACGACGCAGATCTAAATAAAAAATATGAAATATCAGCACCAACATCTCAAACACTTTTTTGTTACTACACGAAAATTAACTTACTTGTCTAGTCGTCGACACTGGAAATGGATGGAGGACAGGAGTAAAAGTACCGATGTGTTTGTAGGCTCCTGTCGCCTAAAATGAGAGAGAGGTTTAACTTAGGTTAGGTTTAACTTACAACAGATTTTTTGTATAATTGATTATTTTAAAACCTACCACAATTGCATGCAATGCCGTTCTGCGTTTTCATAGTCCCCTGTTTGATACTCGCGATGAGCGAGGTCCAGGAGCCCCGTTACGATAAATCCCCCCATTAATTAATTAATTGTTGTGGAAATTTAACGACGACACCACTATCATTCCAAAGCTGAATGTCTTTGTGAGGGAGGAATGAATAGTGATCAAGCAGACGGATTTTTTTATTAGTTACGCAAATCCAACTCCTTCTTCTTCACCACCAAGCTCCTCCCTCCCCACGAGCGTTTACGAGAAACCAGATGGAGCAAAGTACAGCTGCGATACCAACGAAGTAAAAACCAGACGTGGTCAGATGAGGAGGCAGGTTGACACGTTTTTCTTTGTTCCCTTGCTATAAGCAGTCGAACAGTAATGTCTAAAAATAAAATCAAAATGCGAGGTTCGCTTGATGATAAGATACAATGGGGTTTCCAAATTATTCATAGAAATGCATAAAATCATTCAAATCTTAACAGTTTGATGGAGGTTTGAACTTAAAAGTTCTTTTAATTTGGTTATAAGAAATTAAGAAAACATTTTTGGGGACAATCTGACCTGACTTTTTCCGTGCTAGAAGAGACAATCTGTCCCACCTGCAAATTTGATTATGTAACAACTAGTTCCATTTTTTAAATTATACTGTATCCTACATAGTTCAGCTAATGTTTTCAAAATAGGATCGGGCCGATAATGTCTGCACCGACAAAGCTTATCGGTCCGGTGCGGTCCGATTTTGAGAACAGTAATTTGGGCATTTCAATTTTTAATGATTACGAGTACAAGAATATTCTGAAAATAAATATTGACAGAGAATAATGGGGTCCAAAATAATAGCAAAATTTGTTTGTAAAAAATGTGAAGAAGATACTTTGTATTTTTTTGTCTTGTTCTGATAAAAATACGTCTCAAGTTTGAAGACTGGTCAGAATGTATCATGTAAATAAACAGACAGAATAAGATGGAGACTCGGAAATGGGTCAAAATTCAATGATCAGATTACCGAATGTTGACTTGAGGATCATATCATCATCATCATAATATTCATAGGACTCGATTGGATAATGATTGATTAGGGCGTTGCTGATTGTGTCACGTACTTGGTCGGCATGACCTGTTCTCCTATTGTCAGGTGACGCCAGTTGCATGAACATGCAGTTAGTGACACGACGAATTCATACATATATTTATACAAATTTATCTTCCTAGGCCAGTGGTTGAGTAAAAAAGTTGCATCATTTCCAAATTTTTAATGTGGACCCATACCGTTTTAAGGTGATACAACTAACTGAAAATGGTAAAGTGATAAAGTGATGGCAATTGTGGCGTCGTTGTTAGTGTAGGGAAAGGAAAGGAGGGACACATTTCCAGGTATTTATACTTAAATTACTCAAAATCATATAGTAGCCAAATTTTCTATAAAAACGGTCCTAATAGAAATTTCCTATCTTCCAATTAATGACAATAATGACGAAATAAAAATGAATCGTAATAATTAAATCGACTTTCATTACTTCTGGTCCCATTACAAAAATGGGCAGAATGATAATTAGCATATCTCCGATAAGTCTTGTTTGCATGTTGAGATGAGGAATTGAGTGTGATACTGAGAACCAATAAAATAATAATAACACAACTTTAAGATAATTATGTGATCATTGCTACAACGACCGTGTGACTCTTGCTCCCAAACATTTCCTGGCATATCAGTCGCATATCATAGCAGATCACATATCAGAGCAGGGTTATGTATGATGTGTAGGTGGGTACCCGACAAGAACATGCCGTGGGGTTTGTATGGGAAATGAATGGGTTTCGTGTGGGTGTGTGGATTTGACGTGGGCAAAGAAAATATGTGGGGTTTGGGCGAATTTTTCGTGTGGAAAATGCATGGGGCAAAGATAATTTGCACGCATAAATATTCTGAATACGCATCCGCGCAGAATTCTCGTGGGGATTTACAAGAAAATGCAAGACGAATTTGTCTCATTGTCACCCAAACAAAAGTTGCATGGGTAAGTTTTTGTGAATTTTGCCCCACAAGGAATCTGCGCATAATATGCATGCGATGTTGCTCCTTTCAACTTTCGTGAGACTCGTAGATACTCGGGCGAAATGACGTGGGGAAAATTAGCGGGAAGAGGTGGCCACGCATCTTTGTCCGTTATTTTTTCCCCACCACACACCAGTCAGATTTATTTAGCTCCAAGTTCTTCTTTCTTATTAAAAATTCGTACAAATTGTAGAAATGTTCTCAGTCGTAAAATTTTTAGGGGAAAATTCAGTTTCGACTGTTCCATCATCGTGGTTAAGCCGGAAAGGTTCAAAGTGCTTTTGGCCACCAGGACTACCAGCAACAGTGTCCAGGGCCATCAGTTCAAAAAAATCACCTGAATCATCTTGGACAGCTCACCCAATAAAGTTTTATAAGACAGCAGGTAAGTTTTTTAAAAAATATTTTTCACTTCCGACTCATGATTGATTTCGTAGTCTTCTTCCAATCAAGCGTAAAACTGACTGAACTAAAATGTGTCAATTTTTATTTACAGATAGTTTGTTAGCTGCCAAATCTCTCGAAAAAGAGGCTGAAAAAGCGGAAACGTTGGACACAACTGATCCTGAAGAGTTTTCAAACATTAAAAGAGCAGCTACTAAGACGTTACAGCCCCGTAGCAAGAAGGTCAAGAAATCGCGACCACCTCCACCAGAATCGTCGGACGATGACGAATCAGTTGAAGACGATGACGAAGAATTAGATTTGGTTGGATTTAATGGTCATGTATTTTCTCAAGCAGGTAGAAACCAAATTTTATTTTTTTTCGTATCGATAAATTTATTTATTCAAATTAAATAACTACACAATATTTCTATGTATTTGTAGAAGTGCATGTCGCCCAGACTGACGAAAACTTAGGTGCGGCCACTTCTCTACAGGATGTTTCCTCAGCTTTCGTTTTATCAGATGCTCAAGAAATTGCAACAACTACGACCAGCCTTCCACACCATTTAGAGAACGAATCATTACAAAACTTGATCCACCCAAGACCTAGCTTGACTCCAGTCTCTAAGTTTACGTCGGACAAAACAAGACGGGTATTATTTTCTGATGTGCGTCCTAGACCAAAAGGTGATGGTCACAATAAATTGTAAAAGTTAACAGTTATTTTTGATACAATATTTGAATTACGGTAAAATAACTGTTTTACAGAAACTTTTGAGGAGCTGGTGCTACGATTGCTGACTGAGCTGAAGACTGATGTCGCAGAACTTCTACGTCGCTCGAAGGTAGTAAATCCGTCAAAGAAAGTTGTCGAAATTCCGTTCAGTTTACCATTCCGTGAACAACGTGAAATTGATGAGTTGGAATTATGGATTTTGGCCGACGAGAAAAACTCATTAGATTTGGTGCGAATAAATACTACTTAATATTTATTTATTATGCTGTCGCGTATTATATTTCAAGATAAAAATTTTCAATTTTTAACACTTAAATTTCAGATTGAATTTCTCTCTCAATGGGGTGGGGAAACATCAGCCAAGGTCACCCGCCGAATTTTATCAGAACTATTTGATTCAACTTTAGGACGACAGTTCAATTATACGGGAGGTGGAACATTGAATAAACGCTCTTTTTCTGCGTTGGAACTACACGATAAAGTTGTTGGTATATGATGAATCATTTAATCAAGCTTTTCATTTGTATTTGTTTAGTATGTATGCTAGAAAATACACTAATATTTTTTATTTATTTCTTAGCTGCAACAAGGCAATGCGAGGCTGCATACAATACTGAAATTGTGAAGATCGAGCGAGTTATTCAAAATTATTTTAGGGACACTCGCGACAAGAAAGGACCAGGCGCTCGGATTCGCTCTCGCAATGTATCAAAGAAAAAGAAGAGTGATACGGCAGGAGGTTCAGAAACTTCTGTCGCAGATGGAAATTCGAAGTGAATCTACCACAGACGAATCTATTAATGAAGAACATGTCTCTAGTTCTTCCGATCTTAATGTAAATAGTTATGAATGCCAGAAATCCTCTTTATATTTAGATAGTAATGTTAGACATCAAATTAGCGATATTGATGAGCCGATTTTGACTAGTAAGTTAGCAAGGTGGGCAGTACAGTATAATATTACTCATACTGCCACCTCCTCTTTGCTTAAAATTTTAAACCCGTATGTTGATTGTGAGCTCCCAAAATCCTCAAAAACTCTTCTATCTACTCCTAGGCGTATTTTAGTTAATCCTTTGGGGGATGGAAAGTTTGTTTATTTTGGTATTTTAGATTTTCTTAAGAATGAAATATCTAATGGGCTGGCAGAGTCCCAAATTCCTTTGGTAGTTAACTGGGCTAATAATTTTAATACTATTACTAAAAAACTCCTTACAATAAGTACTTCAACTGACGGTATTCCAATTGTTAAAAGTAGTAGCCGCCAAATGTGGCCAATACTAATTAGATTAGACCAGTCAAAATGTAAAGAGCCTAAAATGGTTGCACTTTATAGTGGGGAAAGTAAACCGTCTGACGTACAGGAATTTTTTAAACAATTTTTAGAAGAAGTTAAAATTTTACAAAATGATGGATTTACGGTAGATAGTGTTACTTATTTTCTTCGAATTAGTTGCGTGATTGCTGACGCTCCAGCCCGTAGTATGATCAAAGTAATTAAGGGGCACACGGGATATCATGGGTGCGAGCGTTGTGAAGAAGGAGATTACTACCAAAACAGACTGGTTTTTGTAAATTCCAACTCCCCGTTACGGAATGATATAGGATTTCGGTCAAAATGTTGGGGATTCGCGTTGGGGATTCGCCGCTTTTGTCTGTAAACATAGGTTTAGTGTCTAACATAGTGCTTGATTATATGCATCTAATTTGTCTAGGAGTGATGCGTAAATTATTGTACACTTGGGAATCTGGTCCTCTTGTTACTCGACTTCAAAGTAGAATCTTCTTACTTCTTCTTACTTAGTAAATATTTCTAAATTGGTTCCTTCCGAGTTTGCCCGTAAACCCCGATCATTTAAGGATTTACACCGTTTCAAAGCTACAGAATTCCGTCAGTTTCTGTTGTATGTAGGTCCTGTAGCTTTGAAAGGTAATTTACCTGCTAATCTCTACAAACACTTTCTTTTGCTACATTCTGCAACATTTATACCATTGTCTAGTAAAGCTCATATTGTGGAATTTAATAGCATAGCTAAATTAATGTTAAGAAAGTTTGTTGACAAAAGCAATGATTTGTATGGCAGCACATTTATGAGCTATAATGTTCACTCCTTACTCCATGTGGCAGATGATAGTATTTATTACGGAAATCTAGATAATGTCAGCGCATTTCCATTTGAAAATTTTTTAGGGCAAATGAAAAGGATGATTCGTGGAAACGGGTATGAAATTGAGCAGGTTGCTAAACGCGCACACGAAAAAGAGAATTGCTTGGGAATCAGGTCAGAATGCGTTAACTCTAAATTTATGACCAAGAAAATGATAGTAAAAATATACACTAAAGATAATATTATAGTATCGTCTTATCGACGTGATTGCTATTTTTTACTTTCTACAGGAGAAATAATTCAAGTTATTCAAATTTTATCACAAAACTTAGTTAGTTGCAGGACTTTGATTTCCAAAAAATTGGTGAAATATTATCCCATTGTTAGTTCAAGTCTAGCTATATATGAAATTAATTTAAGTAATTTTAGAGGATTAAAAACTATAAACGTTAACAATATTATTTCCAAATACGTTGTATTACCGTTTAGTATTGATAATCCTAATGTTTGTATTTGTATTCCAATGGTGCAAATGGATTTGAAATAAATTTTTGTTTGCAATTTGAAACTTTGTACAACTTATTATGCATGAAGTAGTGTGTGGGAACAGAGTGGGAAAAGAGGGGGTGTCCCTCGCGAAAACTGCGCAGTTGTTGCATAAAATATACACGAGTACTAAGTGGGATCGGAATGGGGAAGACGTGGGCACCCCACGCGGGACACCCCAGTCGAATTTGCGCTGGACGAATTTTCATTTGTAGCGTATTTTCTTTGGTCATTTCCCGCGTGGGAACGGCGTGAAATCATGATTTGGTTCTTGTCGGGTAGGCAGCGTATATCGGGCTCGGTGAAAGTTGTAGAATAATAAGACAGGTTGAGTGTAATTAGATAATGGAGTTGGTCTCAATAATCCACTATACTACGACCAACAGAGAACAGAGAACAGAGCAAAAGGCAAGGGTTGCCCAATTGTTCCTCCATCGTTATCCACATATACGCACACAATTACTTTCTCCCCTCGAACCCTCCTCTGGCAAACTCAGCACGGTTTTATGAAATGCAATCACAAAATGTACTATTAAATCACCTACTTCTTGGTCGAGGCTGTTCATTAACTATTGCAAATAGTGGGCAAAAAGGACTTGTTTGAGTCTCTGCATATGCATCTGTACTTGTGATAATTCGAGTGAAAGTCTCAAGTGCAAAATGAGTATCATTTGTAAAGTAATGTTGTTCCAAATTAGCCAAAACAGTTTAGCCATGTGGAACGATTATTAGAAGATTATGACGGCAATAAATAAAGTCAGGCAAGAGGTAACAGGGATGGTGGAGAGGTTGTACGGTTGAGGGGAAATAGTATCGTTGGAAATGATACACGGTGACATAGTGTGGGTCGATAACTCAGAAATTGCGAAAAGCTTTTTCTATCTCTCCAATTACATCAACATTCATCCACGCAGTTCTGATTTATTTCAGTTTCCTTTTCCATTCAGTTTATCCGAGAATATGTCAGCCGACAGACATACACATTTCTGTTAGTGGATAAATTGTACATACTTTTAATTTGCTCAGCGTTCTCACTTTTTTGGTGGGCAACTCTTTCTGCACATATTCATGACAATAGTCTGGGCACTACATAACATATATTTTCACGGTGACATAATGTATCCGGACTGAATCTAGTGAAAAATTTGGCTTCAATTTGGTGCCCCACTTCGAAATGGCATCACAAGAAGTTTCAAATTTTAAGTCAAATTCTGACCAAAATAATCAAAGCGCAAATAGTAGCACTGGCAATAATGACGAGGCGGTTAAACCCAAAGATTTGCTACTCCAGGTGCCTGGAGCTACTGACGCCATGTCGTCCGTGTCACCTCGGAGTCGACCCCGGCTTTCCTTCGACGAGACTTCCATCGCCAACACGAAGCAAGCCGCAGCAGCCGAAGGTCCACCAGCTCCTCCTCCTCCGGGGGGCCCAACGACACTTTCGACAGAAGCTCCCGGTGCCACGACGAACATGGGAAGACTTGCTCCTGAGTCAATTTTAAGAAGATCATCATCTCCCAACAATAGCAACAGTGCGCCAAGGCCAAGTCTCCATTCAAACACGAGTGACGATTTATGCTCTGAAATTGCCCGACTGGATATGGATCCTCCAGACGATTCCAAAATTCCTCGAATTCGCAGAGTGGTTAAGATTGTGCAGGTATCAGGGCGTCAGATTAACATAAATACAAATCTCCTTATACGTAAATGTGTATTTAATACTGTAGAATTTTCGCCAATGGGCAAATAATCGGACAGCCCCGAAAGAACCGGAGCGTCCGGACTCCTTCTTAGAAAAATTTGGGATAGGAGTGGCCGGCGCGGGAAGCGAAGCCGGAAGTCAGAGATCTGCAAGTCGAGCGGAGAAAGTCACTTGGTGGCAGAAACGCAAAAAGACAATTTTGTCAAAATGCGTGATTGACTCTTCCAAACCTGCACATTATCGAGTACGTTAATTGTTTATGCAAAGATGCATAATAATGTCCCATATTTATTTATTAACTAATGAAGGCTATGCTTTGATTTTTCCCTTCCGACGATAGTGGACAGGGGTATTATCAATAGCCGTTTTATATAATCTAGTCTTTGTCATTGGACGTGCAACATTTTGGGAGTTGCAGAACATTCTTCCAACAGCATGGTGGTTTATGGACGCCATTGCTGATATAGTTTACTTGGTGGACTCTGTAATTCATGCTCATGAAGGTAAATGATGATTTAACTGTTGCTCCTCACAAATATAGTAAACGTGTTTTTTTTACTTGTAGGATATTTGGAGGAGGGAATGATGGTTAAAGAGCTGTCGAAACTTCGGAGCAACTATTTTCAGTCACCATATTTCAAATTAGATGTTATTAGCTTGTTACCCACGGATTTTGGTTATTTTTTCTACCCTACTCATTGCCCAGCAATTGTCCCATGCCCTGTTATTTTCCGTCTCAACCGACTCTTCAGAATTCACAGGCTCAACGAATTTTTTGAGAAGACAGAAAGTCGTACCACGTTTCCAAATGCTTTTCGAATTGCCAAAGTCGTGTTGTACATTTTAGTCATCATTCACTGGAACGGTTGCTTTTACTTTGCAATGAGCTACTACATCGGGTTTGGAAGTGATGGCTGGGTTTACAGAAACATCACGGTGGGGAAATACGCTGATCTATCACACCAATATATTTATAGGTATGTTTATATTCAAATGGAAAAATCTGCCGATACTAGTTATTAAAAGTCTGAGAACTAAAAAGACAAAATTTTTGTATTCAAAATTTCTACAGTTTTTACTGGTCAACCTTAACGCTCACGACAATCGGAGAAGTTCCACCTCCAGAAATGGACATTGAATTTATTTTCGTCGTCTCTGATTTCCTCGTTGGAGTCTTGATTTTCGCCACCATCGTCGGTAATATTGGAAGCATGATTACGCACATGAACGCGGCAAGAGCCGAGTTTCAGGACAAAATGGACTCCATAAAACAATACATGGTGTTCCGCAAAGTGACAAAAGATTTAGAGAAACGAGTCATCAAGTGGTTTGATTACTTGTGGACAAATAAACAAGCACTGGATGAAGATCGAGTAAGGAGAAAGTAGCTAGAAAGCTTTGTAAGCAATTTTATGATAACTTGTTACTCGTCACAGGTACTCGGGGCTCTTCCAGATAAGCTAAAAACGGAAATTGCCATTCATGTTCACTTGGGAACCTTGAAGCAAGTCAAAATATTTCAGGATTGCGAACCTGGATTATTGACAGAACTTGTGCTGAAACTAAAACTTCAGGTTTAGTAGAATATGTTTAACCCAATATGAATTCTAAACTATAGCTCCTAATCGGAATAATTTGATTAACAGGTTTTCAGCCCGGGAGATTACATTTGTCGAAAAGGAGACGTTGGGCGAGAAATGTACATTGTTAAGCGAGGAAAAGTTAGTGTTGTAGCAGATGACGGAAAAACTGTATTTGTAACTCTGGGAAGTGGATCAGTCTTTGGCGAGGTATGTATCAGTTCCTGTCAGAGTCCACCATGTGGATAAGAAAGAATCGTTGTAATTACTTTCACGTATCAACTTAATCGCGACAACAGGTTAGTTTGCTGAACATTGCCGGAAATAAGACAGGAAATAGGAGAACTGCAAATGTGAGAAGTGTTGGATACTCGGATCTCTTTTGTTTGTCAAAGGATGACTTGTGGGACGCACTTCGAGTAAAACTATTTATAACCACAACCTTGTACTTATTACTTTACAAGATCATAATAGCACAATAGACCTTTGTGATAATTCGATAGGAATATCCTGAAGCAAGAGAAGTGCTCTTAGAACGGGGAAAGCAGATGCTACAAAAGGACGGATTAATCGATGAAGAAGCATTAGAAAAAGAAAGACAAGCTCAGCTAAACACTAGTGACAAAATCTCAAAATTGGGCAAGTCGTTATTTAATTGTTGCTTAATTGGGTGATTGGTAACTTTTTGTACGTTACGATACGACGCAGACTCTCTGGTCGAAACTTTAACCACACGGCTAGCTCGACTTACTGCGGAATATGCAAGCACACAGCAGAAATTTAAGCAAAGACTGACAAAGGTCCGTTTCAACATTTTTCTATTTGACCGTGGTGAAGCAATAATTTGTGCCTTTAGTTGGAGAAGAACATGGACGGACAAAAGGGTCGGGGTCAGTTTTTCATAAGAACAATGGACGCTGACGATGAGGCTTCAGATGGTGAAGCGAGAAAACTGAGACGTTCTCCTTCTGCCCCTGAGCCCTCAGTTCCTCCAGAGAATGACGATCGAAGTTAAGTCCAGCAAAATTTATTCACAGCGAACCTGATTTTTAGTCGTCAATACTTCTGACACTTTTTAAATTATTTAAAAGTGTCAAACTATTCTAAGCTTCACACTTGATGCCTTTGATGTTTAAATAGTTCACGTTCAATTTAATTGTAAGTATCGTATCGATTCAAATTCTGATTTCTGACACCACCAAGCTCCATTTATTTACCAAGAATGACAAGTAATGAGAATTTTTGAGATATTTTTATTTATAGACGAATCGTGATTAAACCAAACCATTTCTACGTTTAGTTTTGTTGCAAAACAAAAGTCGAAAAATGGGTTTATGTTTTGCATGCAAAAATGACTTTCTCAATTTCCCCGTAACGGAACTTACAATTCATGGTAAATACTAAGGATGAGCTTGGTGACGTTCGAAGCTAGATGCAAAGTACCACTGTTCTTAAAAATGCCACAGATTATTATGTGCTCTTAATCAATCCTTCCATTCATTGTGTTACACAGTGCAATTTATTCGCCTTAAAGTCTTACATGAATGAAAAAGAATAAAATCAATTCAACGATTAAAAACCGTCATTAAAAATGTCGAACTCAATTACGGAGTGTTGGGATAAATAGCGTTTCTGCAGAGGAACACTTTGCAACCATTTTCACAACATTTCTTAGCCCCTGAAAAAAATGGAATAAAAATTAAGATTCAAATTTAAACTTTTGAGGTTTCGTAGCAGCTTTTTAAATAGTTTAGTTGATAATTTACCGGGACAGTCAACGTCAACTTTGCAGATTGAGGTTTGATTTCGCTTGGAGCAATCGTCAATTCCTGGTCTGGGGGTAACTTTGGTGGGACAGATGCCTGGTCGGCTTGAGCTTGGTGCTGAAAATTAAGTACATCAATCGTTACATAATTTTAAATATCAATGTACATTGGATCTCAAATGATATAATTATTACTTCTTGGAGTTGTTGATGCCTTGACTTTATCGCAGTCGAACTTGCTGCATTTGTCCGCAGCAATTGTTGCACCGCAAGTACAAGTGTTGCAATCTTTCGGGTATGTCGTTCCCACGGCGCAATTCTCTGTAAATATTACACACAGAATTTGTTAAATCAGAACAAAGAGGTTCGTACAAGTTGTATTTGAAGCTCACTTGGACGAGGGACAACATCCAGAGCGACGGCCGTGATGACCAACAATGCGGCTAAAATGAAAAGTCGGGACATTTTGAAAAAGAAAGTTATAATCCCTTCTGATTTTCTTATTTTGCAGAAAATGCGTCAATGGACACTGTTAAATTGACTGTTGAGTTGGTACTGAAGTAAAACTTCTCCCAGTGGTTGAGGTTGTCACTTATTGTGCGAATGGGTTGCAATTATGCAGATGCAAAAAACTTGTGCGACAGGAAAGGCGGAATGGTTTGTGACGTGATATACCTTTCCACATGAGATTAACTTGCTCATCATTGTTGCGAACTCTTACTAAACATCATAAGAATACGTATATATATATAGTGGATTATCTGCATACATTCTATTTTCAGGTAGCAACAATATCGTTGTGATCGTATGTATGTTTGCTGTGCACATTGCATTCGTCATTATTTTTTATCGTCGTCAGCTATAGTTCAGCAAAACAAGCTTATTGTCAACCATTTTTGAGGTACACTATCAACTGTGTCGTCTGTTTATTCTCCACGGATTCTGTATTATGCTCTGAGCACTCAAAGCCACATAAAGTGTACACACACATCATGCCTCATTTCAAAGCCATATGGAATTTGGTCACGTTAAAAGTTTTGTTTGGGATTTCGGGGACATTATTATGTTTGTACTTTTGTGGTGCATGTACAAAAAATGCAGCATTATTTTTCATGGCTACACTAAAATGACTCTTCCACTGCACGATCTGAGAGCACAATGGATTTTTAATGACAGTACAGTATGTGACCACCAGCATATTCACATGTACTCAGAACTCGTGTTCACTTTTATTTTCAACTCACTTCATTAATGAGGATTTGCAGGTAATCGGTTTCAGCGAAAAACAAACTTTTCTATATCTCCAGTACAATGTGTCACATTTTCTACGAAATGAGTTCAAGGTGATTTTCTCAGGAAGGTGCATGGGACGTTGATAAGGTCATGTGTCACAGAAAAAGGCTAATGTTTAATGTCGACGTGTTATGATATGAATTAAAATTAATGCAGGACACGTTTCTCATGCGTCTAAAAAATTACATGGTTCAATGAAAAATGGTATGACACTACATATTACTATTTTTTGTTCGAGAATGTGACCTCTCGTTTGGGGTTAAACTATTAAAGGTCAAAATGGGATTATGCAGCCCTAACTGTCACTTTAAATATTCAGTATGCGTCATATATTCTATAATTTTTACACTTAACAAAATACCAGACTACTTTAATTATGATGTTACAAGCTGTAAATTTCGAGAGATGACGATGACGACCGAGCTGTACGGAAGAATCACAAAATAGGATTCTGCATATGATGTCGCAGACGTAGATGGAGATGCAGATGGGTGCTTGTTCCATACTCTGATCAGATGTTGATGACTAGAGACCCAATGTATTCCGTTGAATTGTCCTAGATGCAACGGAAATTGAGCTACTGCACATTTAAAAACTTATCACTAATAATGCTCACCATTTGTTCCATATATTTGTAAATATAATTTACTCCTCTTACAGCATTATAATAGTTTGACACACGTTATATAACTAATACACATTACTACAGTACTAGGAATTTTTTAAAAGTTTTTCTACGGTGTCTGCAACTTGTTGCATATTATATTTGCCCCCAGTTTTCGTCTTCACTTTTGCTATGAGCTGATTCATAAGTTTGGACTTTCCACTATTTTTAAATTTCATGACTAGGTTAGGGTTTTCTTTTAGCACGTCTTCACAAGCAGACATAATTGCTCCAGAATCCGTTACTTGCATCCAGTTTTCGTCTTTGACAATCTGCAAGCATTCAAAACATTGAGATTAAGTGTTATTATTTCGGCTAAATAGACATAATTGTGCGTACTTGCAAAGGTGAGCGATTATCTCCTTTTAGTAATAATTGCATGATTTCTGTCGCCTTTATAAAATTAACCGTTTGGTCATCTAGTATCTTGATAAGTTCACCAAGTTTGTCTGGGTCGATCATACTGAAACGTTAAAAGAACAATAAGTTAATTCAGCCATTAAAGAAGTTCAACTTAATAATTTCAAGTACCAGTCGTTCAATGTTAAATTGTTCTTGTTTAGTTCAGATAAAATTTCAACTGCAATAAAGTTGGCTGTTCTTAAACCTAAGTTTGAATCTATGTTCTTCATAACGGACTGAAAGTAGGGCAAGAAACCAGGTGTGTTCTTAAGCAGCAAATAATTAAAATTCATTATTAAAATAATTACCAAAAACTGAAACCTTCATAGTATGGATATAATGTTGTATTAGTGTGTTGTACATACCACGATCATTATTGCAGTCTCTAATTTTAACCCAAACTGTTTCATTAATCTCTTTCTCGTAACTTCAGGAAGTTCTTTCAACCTACTCCGAAGCTTGGCAATATTAACAGTCTTACTGTCTGTTGACCCCGGATCATAAGTCACCTTTAGTGGGGGTAAATTAGGTTCAGGCATAAACCGGTAGTCCTATATTTCCAGTATTTATAAAAATTAGACTAATTAATAATTAATTAGATACTTAACTTTTAGGGAACTATTGGACTGCATGACTGACCTGTCGTTCTTCCTTGTCACGCATCGGAACCGTTTGTTTCGTCTGTGCGTCATAACCTCGCGTCTCATTAACAATTCTACGCCCTTTTTCTAACTCGCTGATTTGACGTTCAACTTCAAACTCGATTGCGTTTACAATTGATCGAATGCTGCTTATATTTTTTACTTCAGTTCTGGTGCCTAGTGGTAGTCCTTTTCGATTTACTGAAATATTTGCATCTACCCGTAACGCACCCTCTGTAAAGCAGAGTATATTTTAGAACTGGGAAAATAATTTTAAAAAATTGTATACCCTTTTTTGGGACAAACCTTCCATTCGGCACGAGCAGGTTCCGATACGCTCAAGTATTAAACACAATTCTTTGACTAGTGCACTCGCCTCCTCTCCGTCTTTCAAATCTGGCTCAAAAACTATTTCCATAAGAGCGATCCCAGCGCGATTTAAATCAATAAGGCTTCTACAATTAAATATAATTGTACAAAATGTTCTACTTCAAGAAAATATCAACTGATGATTAAAGAGATATGTACGTTACCTGTTTCCAGATGGAACATGTAAACTTCTCCCACTATCCTGCTCTAATTGCAATTGTTGGATCTTGCTCTTTGCGTAATACGGCTGCTTATGAATTGATGGATTATACACCACGAACTGTAACTCCCCCTTGTTTGCGATTGCCTTTCGTTGTTGAGTAATTTGAAAACCAGACTACCCAAAAAAGAAGTGCATCAAATGATAAACGTCAATTAACCATATATTTTCCAAATGAATTACCGGTAAATCAGAATAGAAATAGTGTTTCCGATCAAACCATGATACAGGATTGATTTCGCATGAGAGAGCCATCGCAGTTAACACGGCAGCTTCCACGCATTTCTTGTTCAAAACCTGGATGAATTTAAGAAATAGCTTTTGAATTTTGAATCAAATTCAAAAATAAATAAAACTCTCAAATTACCGGAAGCGTGCCAGGAATGGCTGCATCAAAAAATGTAACCAGTGAGTTCAACGGTGCTCCAAAAGCGGTTGCTCCCCCAGAAAATAGTTTGGATTCTGTCGAAATTTGAGCATGCACTTCCAACCCAATAATGCTCTCCCAGTCTCCGCTGAAAAACAGGATCAAATTAAAGACAATTAATATCCCTTAAAAATATCGGCAGGATGCAGGAGAAGGAAACTATTATGAACAACGTACGGTCGTTTGATGCTGGAAAACCATCGTTTCGTCGCCCGGTTCGCAATGTTGTTGGTAGAAAGCTGAAGGAATGATCGTCGCATTTTGGTTGGTGAAAGCTTAGATAACTAAATGTACCAAATCACCTATTCATGATTCCACTAAAATAGCTTCACCATCCGTAACGAACAAGAGATTTTGAAATTTAATAAAGAAAAACTAACAAACTGTGAAATAATTTAAACAAAATTTTCTTATACCGAGCCGGTCGAGTCGATGTACACAATTCACTTATTTTTATTTATGGGATGAGAATGATGAGATCCACATGAAATATGAGATTTGCGGGTTTGAGTTGGGGCAATATTCATGCTCTGTGTGATGCGATATATTTCATGAGTAACATTTATGAGATTTGGAAACGACTATTTTGTCTCAAGTAAAGTGAACTAGACACGAGAAGTAATCTTTCGTATTATCTTCTGTAAAACAAACTTTATTATTTGATTGCGTAAATTATGGCAATTACATCACCTGAATGAGGATCTATGAGCTTATTCGACAATGTCGATAACATTATGAGATGACGTTTCAGAAAGAGGTAAGAAACCAGTAAATAATAGGAAACATAACGGTGTTAAGACTAATCATAATGATGAATTGGTAAAATTAGGTACACATGTATTTATATATATATAAATATCTATACAATATTTATATTTCGGTTGGGCGAAGGCTGCGAATTTCCAGCATTATTTTGCCCCGTCGAGTCCAAATTTTGTTTCAATTGTTCCAACTCTCGTAGTCCAGTCTCTGTGAGTTCGTATTTATGTACCACCAACTTGTGGTAGAAGTGAATGGCGAAAACAATAAACAGAATTAGTACTGGCACCATAACAATCGTGGCTGACGAAGCAGCCATCATTGAGTAGTCGTAAAATTTGACCCAACATAAAATTGCTAGCTCGCAGAGAAACAGGAATATTCCTAAAACTGTACTGAAAGCCCATCCTGCTTCAATATACCTGCAGAAAAATAATTATTTACTCTTAAGATGCACATGCATATCGAATCTTGTTTTTGTAAAGTACCAACCAATGCATTCTCTCATGCGGTGACTCCTCCACAATATTAATGTTATGAAGATTGGAAACAGCTTCGACATTTGGTAATATACACGTACTGATCATTAGTGCGAGCATGTGAACAGCTGCAAAAAAAACAGATTAAGTAGTAGATTTGAAAATGTAATGATTGAATTAAAAAAAATATATGACTGTCAGAAGTGTACATACCTACTAAAAGACTAGTGCAAATGACAAAGGCAACTAACAATCCGGGTGGGACTTTGGTGTCATCATTGAGTTGCATTTCCACCATTGCCACCTAACGCACAACAAACAAGAAAATAAAATCAATACAAACAAATCCTCAATTCATGTACAAATTTTAAAAATAAAATTTTCAGACCATGGCGAAGCCAGACATGAGGGCTGACGTTTTGTTGATCGCCTTCAGCTTTGCTCGACTCAAGTGTAACTTCCTCCATGACAGCAACGTCGCCGCAGAGTACTGCCCCTCGGTACTCATGTTGTACTGTAAGATATTAAAGTTGAATATAATTATAATAGATGATAACATATGTACAACAACATTAATTATTTTAATTACAGGGTATATATGCCAACAAAATCTAAAAAATGCACCTTCCAAAAAATGAAACAAAATATAATTACTTTTTAACTAACCGTTATGTAACTAACAATAAACAATAAGCAATAAATAAAAAGTGACGAAATAAAGCAGAAAGAGAACTGAAAGCGATAGAGTCGCTGCGCACTGCTTACCCCCTGATAATAGCCCCTGATTTCGGGTGGCACCCACTCCATGTCGCAATCACTGTCGCTGTCGTATTGTAACACCCTTCAGTTTCCGATAAATCCCCACCCACAATCAAGACAAAATTCATATAAGCGAATAGTCATTTTTTTCAGATAAGCCTGTTTCCAGCACACTTCATTGACCACTCTAAATTTTTGGTCACATGGTGGAGAAACCACTGTTATTTACCATGGCACTTTTTTACATTTGTACAAAAGTTAAAGTTAAGAGAAATTGAATCAATGAAGGTTTGCGCGAGACCCATTATCAAAGCCGTAGCAGTTTTGGAAATCTCACCCTAAACTACTACCCTTAAAGCATTACAAATTAGGCTAACACCACGGACCGGATTTATCGGAACGTCGATCGTAAAAGTGAAATATTAGTAAAACATTATTAAATAGGGATGGATTTAGAGGAAAACTTACATTACATTGTGGGGAGTAGTCAAAACTTGAGATTCTCAGATAAAGGTCACGATACGTTTCTTCCATCAACTATTTTTTACTAATGGACAAGCTTTCTTCAAGACCAATGTTTTCACTACCTATCACCTAACTTCACCTTGTCCGTGGTATGTGATAATGATATGGTCACCTGTTAATGGACATTATTTGATTCTATACTATAAATAAATAACAAACTGATTGGCACCAATTTAATTCTGTTCCCTGCTGACTATTTAAACAAATTGTGTGTTAGTTAAACTACCACACTCCTCAAGTGGTAAGAATAATAATAATATTGTCAATCAAGTTAAAATATAGTTGAATTTACTGCACCCAGTTTCTACACATCGGGGAAAGTGACTCGGTTGCCTCTACTCGTCATCACTATTTGCAACGGAGAAGAGAGATTCAAGCAAGCGGGGTGAAAGTAGAAAATTACACGAGTCACCGAGAATGCATAAGCGAGGCACGCAGCTTTCACCGTGTATTACGACATCAATTTTTTTATACAAAGGTCAAAATTGCATGCAATTCAATTTCATTTGACTAATTAACATAATGATTGATTTAGAATTAGTTTTGAATGCATTTTTATATCGAGGATATCATCCACCTTAAGCAAAGACTGCACTGCACAGTTCCAGTGATAGGCTGATTATTAAAGTGGTGTGAGATTAGATTAGCATAAACTTTCAAATTATGCAAGCCAATGTCATACACATTTAAGCAATTAAAACACGTGTAAAATGCATTTATACTATGTAAAAATAACACGATTTTAAAACTTGGGATTAGTAAGGATTTGTCATTTTGCACTTACCAAATCTGACGCTTCCGCATGTGTCTGACCAGGAATGGAGGCGAGGCTGGTGGCATATGCGTAGTTCTCGTAGTACAAACTAGACGCCAAAGGAGCGTTTTGTGATCCGGACTTCATCTTTGACGACGCTGGTCCTCCGCTTAACTTTATTCTGTGTCGAAATTAAAGAAATTTTCCCAAAATTAACTTTTTTGTAGAACTGATAGTCACTCCAAGCACACTTTTTCACTTCTCTGCAGCATTCTGCAGAGCAGGGGATGATATTTTACTTGGTTTGGAAGGAAAGAGAGATTCGATGCCAGTTGTATAATATATTTCATGTCCCTGGTGTACAGCAGCACAAAATAAAGGCCAGAGTCCTATGCCACACCTCCTACTGCGAATAACTGGGGAGGCAGATGGCTTTGATGATGAATTCACCTCACTGACTTCCAGAAACAAACTGATAATAATAATAATACGATGATGTGCCTAAGCCTGTACTTGACTAGTTATCGCAGACAATGATGAGCGTGGAACAGATCATTTAGCAGTGAAAACGCTGCTGGAGATATGACGAATTATAATAAATCTGAATATTCATGGGATTGTGGGACAAGGATGAACAGAAGACGGAACTAATCGCATCGAACTGATACCGTACACTGATTTCCTCCAAATTGTTGTTACGAGAAATTTTATCACGTTTGTCGATTACTTGGATTTGTCACCATCAGTCAGAGTACACAGAAATTACTAATCCTATGTACATTCATATTTTGTAAATATGTTGAACGTTCCTATGTCTCGCTATCAAAGTTTTCCACAATGAGTTTTATGGTACTTTGTCTCCCTCGCTTCAATCGTAAACTAACTCTGAATAACTTTTACACTCAATTTATAATTGCCATTATGTGCTTGCTCATGAATCAGCATCTCACGGCGAATGCAGCAAAATTTTATGGCCAAGATTTCCTACAATAATGATTAACTTGCCTCTAGAAATCATTGCAGGCTTGAAACCAGCCAACTACTTTTAAGGAAGTTTAACTGTGAACATTTTATGACCATTTGCAGCTAAAATGAAATAGAATGCATTCAAGCAAGTTATTATATACTGTACTGTAATTAATTTGTAGAGGATGGTGCTCATAGACGGAACTAGACACACTATTTCAAGATGTGCTGAAAAATTACGGATTGCTAATTGATAAACTATTATATATGTAGAAAAAAGTACTTTTAAAACAACAGAGATGAATAAATCCTACAGATTTAGTATTATAATTTTGAGAAGTGTCAGGTGTATACGAAAACTAAACAGTTTTATTATAAATGATGCTCTGCACAATTAATGTAATGTTACTATTTATATAGTGAGCCCATAAAGCGCACCACATGCAAACAAAACACAACCAACACAACTCTGTATCCTGGAGTCCATGCAAAAGTGTGAAATGTTGAATCGGATGTAATTCAATCTTCTTGACGGTGATCACAAGTAGATGATCCGAGTAAAACACAAACTGAGGGACTGGACAAGAACAAGAATAAAATACTCACTTAACAAACAAAATCCGTGTGAATGAATGAGGCCTTTTTGGGATAAACACAATTCGCACAATGCATACAACTCTCACACCATGAATGTTTTTGTAACAGCATTGGTTCACACAGAGAATGGATTTATCTAGTATTTGTGTGTGCAATGGATTCCAAAATCAAATCGCAACAACATTGCAGTGCTAAATAGCTCCTCATTCTTATTACCATAAACTCATCGTGGTTAAACAAGCTAAGCTCCCACTATTTGTTTTCCATTTGACTCACATATCATAACTGAGTATGTATGGTTGGTGTATAGTACAAAGTTGAGAAATACAAATACAGCAGAATACAACATAATATGTAACCATAAAGATAATGATCGAATCCGATGTAATAAGTCACGAGACATGAACTCGCTTGATCCTTCTCACACAATTACATAACATTATTCAGTTTTTTACACCGTCGCGAGAGATGAACCAGACCAAGTGTTCCATAAAAGCATTTTCCATATTTCGCGAAAGAAAGTGTTAAACTCGGGTTCTGGTGGGTATCAACTACCATCGCGCGTCAGTGTCGTATCCGTCGCACTTTGTCGCGCTCACCCAATCATGCGTATAATTTAATTAACTATACTGGGTTACTTAAATGTTAGCTTATCAAAATACAAAAAATTTAAATGTTGGTATATCATTAGCCCTCGTTTGTTACGGCACTTGCCGTATAACCCCTTCCCTCAGAAACTTTGACCCCAAAAAACTCCTTGCCCCAGCTATTTGCTTCGGACAACAAAAGCTGAAAATGTAGCTCTTCCCAAGAGGAAAAATCTGGCATCAGGTTGTCAGAAGCAAATGGCTGGGGCAAGGAGTTTTTTGACGATTTCTGTGTACGCAAAAAAACCGCCAATTTTCGAATTTTGAAACTCTTGATGCATCAAAATGTTCGTATTCCAGGGGGAAGTCAAATTGCAAATGCAAGTATATGTCTAACTCTTGTTCTACAAGATCTACATAGACTTTCTCATTTTTCCAAACTTTCTTCTTTTATTTTTACAGGGGGTGTGGTTGCACATTATTCAAAAAATTCTATGGGACATTACTCATTGTACCCATAATTTCAGTTACAATTAATTTTATTTAATTCAATGAAATCGATGCGAAAAGCTATGGAACATATCCGTCATTTTATCTCGCGAGCATTATCCATTGTAGAAAAATACCATTAAGTTTGTGGAAACGAAACAGGAAATCAATTACAGGAATTTGTTATTTGTAATAATATGTATATTTATATTAGGTTTAAATACAATGTCATTCCAGCAAAGGCCAAATAAAATGGGGATATGAATTTATGAATAAATATTAATAATATTATGATAAAATATACAATACAAAATTTGCAAATGAACTGTTCTACACATTCTATATTTGGAAATCATCGTCACTTTCACCAAGTTTATTTCCTCCCTAGGGAAGCTTAATGTTAAAATGAGAGCCACTTTTCGAGAACTATTTTGATAGTCAATATAAAATATTTGCAAAATGTGTCCAGTAGTTCCGCACCACTTATGCATATGTATAATTCTGAAATTTGGATTGACCCCCACACACAGAGTCAAGTCCTTAAAAGCGTCACCCACTCAAGTAACACAAATACATAAACAGAATTTGCAAGATCTTCCAGGCTAGTGATCAAAGTGAGACTCAATATCGCCCATGCCAATATGCCTCATCCTGGATGATTTACATATACAGGAGCACCCAACAAGCTCAAAACTAAACTTTTCCCACGTCGAACTTTCACCTGCTTAAGAAAAATTGATGCTATCTTCCGAATTTTTTTAAAAAAGACGAGTCATTTTCACATTGTCACCTCCATTTTTCCATCAAACAAAGCATATTACCCCCGATTTTGACGTGTTAAGAGAGCTGAGAATATGTGAAAGCAACTTTTTGCCCACCATAGCTTGCCCACCAATGGCAGATGGCCGCTTCGACCGACGTAACGTAAGCCATCATCCACCACCGTCAACCACTCGCTTTACTCCCTGTTTAAAAGCACAAGATATGAAGAAACATCAACAAAATTCTCTTCTTTTGCCTGCTTAAAGCCAAACCTAAAGCTGCTGCTGTTCTCGGTGTAAATTTTCTTTGGAATTAGCACGAGGTGGTGGGTGATAAATTTTAATAAGGAGAAAGCACAAACCAACCTTCCCACTAGAGAGTATTACACCAAATTGGGACCCACCTTACACTCTTCATAATATCTATTAATCGATTGAGTCGGTAATTTGTGCCTTGGGTGAGTTCAACAGTCACACCATGCATTCTTAACACCTTTTCGGCAAAGTCTTGACGCCGTAAGAAATATTACTCAATTTCATAACGCTATTTATTTAGCTCATTGGAGAAAGTGAGAGATACTAACATTAAAAACCAAACGGCATAACTTGATATCTGTAAAAGTCCACATCACTACTACGTTTAATCACTGTCACATAACTTGATACATACAAACGTACTTAATTACGAGTCGGTTTAAAGAATCACTACAGAACTTTTTGTGGCGTTGCTCGTTGTAAGTTGTCAAAGTGGTGATAAAGTTTTCTTTATGACAGATCAACGAATGCCGGATCCACGGGAAATGATGATGTGTCACTGTACGGAAGGAGCGTGATTATTGAGATGATTGCGGACCAATTCCATCAAAGATTAAGTGAGAGGAAAAACAAGTGATTACCGAGATGGAGGGAAAGCACGGGAAGAAACGATCCGACACGGACAGAAGTCCAAAGCGTACAACGCGTCAACTGGTGAGATTCCTTGGTTTATAATGTGATATCTTCGTGATGTACATAAATTAACTAAGCTTCGTTACAAATGGATGGAAGAGTTTCTGATAAGAAATTGGAGGTGGAAATGTTATGCTAATAGAGCCACGACCTGAATTGTATGAAATACGGAACATGGTAATCATCTTCACAATCATATCACTTTATATCAGTGAATGTGTATCTAATGTATTCATCAGATAGATACTTGTGCTGAGCAGACTTTGGTCTCAGAAAACATTCTTTTCAATTTGAATGACGGATCAAAGGGAAAGGAATGCGATTCATTTCTGACAAATCTAAATTTTCTTGATTTGCAATGAGCGTCAAAGTAATGTGCACGGCACTAATAAATCTTGATTCCAACAAACTTATTCCAACAAAAGTTGAACGTAGAAAGAGCAAACAAGTATTTATTCCTTAATCCTTTTTGTACAAATTTCCACAATTAATGGTCTAATAAAACCAATCTGGTTAAGAGAAAGTAAGCGTGTATAAAAGCAGCGATATGGATACCACTTCCGATTTTGAGGCACAGGACGATCACGTACTTTTTAGTCTTGGTTTATTACATGGAGTAGTAGATAACCAAATAAAAATGATATCTATAAATTACAGCGAGATCGAAAGGAGAGAAAGGTGTACACCGACTTCTGGGCTTTGGGCGATGCAGATGACGACATTGAAGGCCCTCAAAGTTTTGACCTGGAGGAGAAACTCAATTCTCCGAAATTTAATAAGAACGTCGTCCTTAGCATGAAAGGCTCTGGTAAATAATACATGATATACTTGCATTATTCCAGAAATTATAGAGCTTCCAGTACGTGAAACCTCTAATTAAATTATTTAATCACAGAATTCAACCTAGCGTATATTCAGAAGCATGGGTTTACGGAACCCTTAATTTTTCACAACAAAGAAGGACTCGGAATACGCATACCAACGCCAAGCTTCAACGTAGGAGATGTAAAGACATGTGTCGGTAATGTATTTAGATTTCTGTATTTTTAATTCTCATACAACTTAAATGAATATATGATGGGAATCCTAGGCTCAAAGAGACTGCTGGATGTGATGGATGTAAGGACACAGAAAAATACCGAGATGACAATGAAAACTTGGCAAGAGTACTACGACAAGGACAACAAGGACAGGCTCCTGAATGTGATTAGTTTGGAGTTTTCACACACAAAGTTGGAAAATTTTGTGGAGGCTCCCAGAGTCGTGAGACAGCTCGATTGGGTGGATCGGGTGTGGCCACGACATTTAAAAAATATGCAAACCGAATCCACTAACGTATGAACATTTATCTATCTACTTTCTCCTCCATAGTTTGTTTAAAGAAATTAATTAATTCAACAATTTCACAGGTAATGGACGAAATGATGTATCCCAAAGTTCAAAAATATTGTCTAATGAGTGTGAAAGGATGCTACACGGATTTCCATGTTGATTTTGGTGGTACTTCTGTGTGGTACCATATTCTTAGAGGGGCAAAGGTCAGTTGATCCTACAAGTATTTATTTGCATTCTTAGCATTAAACATAATTTATATAAATATTTATTTGCTGTATGTTTTTCTTGTCTCAGGTTTTTTGGTTGATTCCTCCAACTGATAAGAATTTAGGACTGTATCAGGAGTGGGTACTTTCCGGAAAACAGGGCGACACTTTCTTTGGGGACAACGTGGACATTTGTAGTCGTGTGTACCTGCAGGATGGTGACACATTTTTCATTCCATCGGGCTGGATTCATGCCGTATACACTCCAAAAGATTCTCTGGTGTTTGGAGGAAATTTTTTGCATAGTTTTGGAATAGAGAAGCAGTTGAAAATAGCCACGGTTGAAGAGCAGACAAAGGTAAGGTCATCATTACTATTAAAGACTCCATTTTCATAGTTAAGTTTTGTTCTTGCTTTCTATTTAGGTTCCACAAAAATTCCGATACCCATTCTTTACAGAGATGCTGTGGTACACGTTGGAGCGATATGTTCATTGCTTATTGGGACAAAGCTACCTTCGAATACCCTCCGACGATGATAGTTGGAAACTACCTGGTCCTCCTGGGGAAAAGTTAGTGCCCGAGGTATGTTGGATATATTTACATAATTAACCTATCAAATTTACAAATCAATGTTTTTCTAACATATATTTAATTATTTATATTATTATTTCATACAGAATGTTGCTCTTAGTCCGCAAGAGCTACTTGGTTTAAAAGCAATTGTGTTGTACTTGCACCAATTGCCAATTCAACGAAAAAATGTCCCTGTTTTAATTTATGACGCCGTCTCACTTCTGAAATGCATTCGGCAAGTTGTTGAAATGCATCGTTACGATGATCCCGCAAAAGCAGTAACGGGAAAACCTATATTGATCTGGCCCGGAGAAAGGGCAGAGGTATTGCTACAAATAAACCAAATAATGCTAGTAATTTTAACAAAAATAGTGGACTTTCTTTTTTAAAGAATAATTTACATGATTGTTTCTTCACCAGAATGTTGGAAAAATTACTCCTATCCGACGACAGAGGCCTTTCAAAGCAATAACGGCAGGCAAAGTCAGCAACGAGAGCGATTGGGTTGACAGTCCTTCCAGCAATCAAGAAGACGTCACTAAACGTCGCGGTCGTTGTGGAAAATGTCAAGCCTGTCGAAACACAGAGGACTGCGGTCAATGCGCAAATTGTATGATTCGGCAAAAGTACAAAGATTCCGTTGACATTCTTCGACGAAAAATTTGTGTCATGAATGAATGCATGGCTCCAGTATTGTTGCACAACACAATTTGTGGAGAATGTGGTTTTGATGGTTGGAATGAAACGCCCCACGTCGTCCCAAAACTGCACACGACCCTTTCAACCCTCATGGAGTGCAGTATATGTTGGAAAATTGTTCATCCGATCTGCATCGGACATAAGTCTAACCCACAAGTCATTGCCATTGTGAACGATGATCTTCCCAATAGCTGGGAATGTCCGCTGTGCCTCGACACCTCCAGACCTCGCACTTTAAAGAAACACAAAAGCTTGGAGGACTCGAGCATGAAGGGATCCATGTACAATAATAACAGCAACAGCATGAATCAGGACGTCAGCAGTGTGAGCAACAATAGCGTTGTAAACCATAATGACGCTGTGACCATGAATGGGAACAGTTCGGTCAGCTTCCCAGGCAATCTTAAAGGAAGTTCGATCACCTCCTCAATTTCGACCCCATTCCCCGCAATAGTCAAGGAAGAAAAAGGGGAAATTCGGAAATCCACACAGATGATGGACAAGTCTGTAAGTATATTTCGTTAACTGATTTCAAATCTTTAGTCTTAATTAATAATACTAATAATTAATTAGGCACGAGACGATGAGGATAGCGTGAAGCAAAAGTTAGATGAAGTCGTTCGAAGAAAGTCGACTGAAGAGGCTGCCAAAGTCATTGCCGGAAAGATGAATGCTGCAATAAAACGAACTCTGTCCACTGGAAGTGAGGGTAGCAAAACCAAATTTCCACGTCGTCAGCCTGAAGAAATCAATGGAATCGTCACAACAAATAACAATTCTGCCACGCATTATGATCATAAACCCGTGAAATTGGGTAATGTATCGAATGATAAAGACAAACTTCCGTCCAAGAAAGTGAAAAAGGAAGTCGTTTCCGAAGAATCTGATGATGATGACGACGATGAGAAGGATGAGGCTGGGGTCAGGAAATCATCGTTGCCAATAAAATACCCATTCAGGTAATTGATGCTAGTGGTGGTTCAATTTCAAAATTGATAGAAAAAGTTGCCGTAACTTATCACAATACTAATTAATATTGCAGAACGGAGTTATCTGGTAAAATCATTGGTACTTCAACCAAATCTTTAAAGAAGCCGACAAATGTTGTCCGCCCTTCTTCTGAAATTGCAGAGGACAGTTCCAAAAAGTGCAAAAAAAAGTTGGGATATCCTGCCGTCCTCAAGGAGAAGCTTATTTTGGCTCCCATTTTCAAGTGGTTGGATATACAGTCATTGAATCGTGCCGTACAAGTGTGCAAGGACTGGAATAGAGTTGGGATTTCTCCAGAACTTTGGAAAACCATTAACCTCAGCCATAAGTATGTAAATTCATGCGCTATACTGATATGTATACGCTTTTTTGTTAGATGTTACATATATATTAGATTATCCAACACTTTATAAACGGATTATTAATTACAGGAAAATTACTGCAGAATTGCTCAAAGGCGTTGTACGAAGGCAACCAAACATCGTGATACTCAATTGGACACAGATCTCTAAACAGCAATTAGTGTGGCTAATTAGTCGACTACCTCAATTGAAACACTTGTCCCTTCAGGGAAATTCGTGGAACACGGTTTCTGCTTTAAAAACTTGTTTTTGCCCAGTACTTGAAGGTCTCGATCTCGGATATGTGGATAATTTGTTGGACAGTGGGGTCAGAGAAACTCTAGCCGCCCCACTAGATTCCAGACCTGGCTTGACCGACTCTAAGTCTCGACTTCGACACTTGAAATACCTTAATTTGTCCGGAGCTCCTTTATCAGATGTGTCCTTAAGGTATTAATATTGACATGGTCGATTATTAACTATTCCTTATTTGTATACTCCTCCGAGTCAAGTGAAGTGCTTTTTCTTATTTATAAATCTCTCGCTTAATGAAACTCAGGTATGTCACCCAGCATGCCGGAAGCATTGCCAAGTTGGATCTCAGTTCCTGTTCAAGAATAACAGACGCAGGGATTGCTCAATTGGGTGCCCCAGATTCTCCAAGTTTGGAAAATTTGACCCATCTGATCGTCACTGGTTGTCCTCAAATAACCAACATCAGCCTGGATCACCTCAAACGATGCAAAAAACTAATCTACCTGGACATTAAGAGCATACCACAAATTACTGTCGTAGGCCTTACCAAATTTTTTAATCAATTGGCTGAAGCCGAAGCTTCAGGAATTAGAACGTCGAAAATGGTTGTGAAGCACAGTCTCTCTACAGCACAGTTGGAGCTACCCAACCTCCACCAAAACTTCTATCAGTCTGAAATGGTCAGCTCTCGAAATAGCCTCACCTCACCTTCGTTTTTGGTCGGCGTCCACATAAACACTACTACACCTTACCTAAAATAAATTGTTGTTTAATTACACCTTATCTTAAATTAATTGTTTGTTTATTCAATAAAGTTTAACTTGTTATTACAATATAACTGAGGTACACTTACAAATTTATTTATCGCATTCGTCGAACGAAATTCACTCTCTTATCCTTGAACTGCTACTGTTACTATTTCTAATCTGCTTCACGTCGGCGACCGAATGACTCGTGGCTTCAAGTGGAAATACGTTTTTTTCTTGACGTTCTAAATCTTTGGTAATTCCTTCGTGCAGATTTTGTCTAAGAAAAAAATAGTATCTCAATTTTACACAATTTTTATAAAAAAATATCATAACTTGTTGACCAACCTGTCCAAATGCTGACGGAGGTGTACGTATCCAATAGTGCCCGCAGTAATGACGCAGGACGTTCCAAAAACCGTTTTCGCCAACTTGCTCATCCTCTAGATTAAATTATTCAGTTATTGTGTAAACAATTTGTAAAAAATTGCGTGTTTCTGAAGTTAGTGAAAATGGTTCCCTCTTGTTCGTCCCATGTGAGCAGGGCAGAGCAAGACAGGTGGAGAAAGCTGTTGAGCTTCCTAAATAAATACCTCGTTGTGAACGACTTTCACTTTTATGACACGGTTTTATTGCACCATTTAAGAAATGCCAGTTTGTTTTTTTACTTTGTAATTACATAATGCAATATAATTTAATGGCTTCAGCCATGAATAAAATATTTTATGAAATTTCATCGAATCGAATCAATCTGCATAGCTGGCCGTGCCCCCAACGGATGGTGGAAGTTGGTTACGAGGAATTTCACGGTAAACTTGGCTTTGCCATTTTTCTTTGTTCCGTCCAAAGATTTTGAGCGAATCTCTAGTTAGAGGACTTACTGCGTTTTTTAACACTTGCAAAACCGGTTCCATTGCGGCTGGAGCTAAAACATGGATGAAATTAATGATATTTTTAAGTTTAAGACAAAGCAATTGAAAAATATTTTTCTACGCGTAATACTATTGATTAAAAACATGCTGTCACATGCTCCTGGAAAATGATTCTCGTACGAGTCTATGAAATTCAATGTCATGGGCAAACCTGTAGTAATAGGAAAAGTTGTAATTAAACAGTTTTAAATCATTCAAATACGAGAAATAAAAGAAGGTTTACATTGGAGGCACAGGTGCTGGGCGACATTGAAACCGCCCAGATTTGTCACGAGAGAATATTGAGTGATATTACGACCTTCAGTTTCTCGAAGAGTTCTAACTTTTGTTGTCACTTGTTCCAAGTATCGGTCCATATATCGAAGCAGTCGCTTCCCCTTTCCACTTAATGAAGCCCTTCGAAAGTCATAACTTCCCAGGTCCCAGAACGCAACTAAATAGTAATGTAATTTACAAATGCAGCTCAATTTTAGGGGACGGCGTCATTTTCTATTTAGTTTTTCTAAAGACTATAAATAATCAAATTCATATTCAATACCCGGCCTTCCTTGGTAATCGAAACCATCTATAAAATATTTATAATCGGATTCCATGTCGGAAAAATCCTCATCCAAAATGGAATCCATCCCATTTTTCTTTCTCCAGTCTAAATTCTAGTCGAAAATTCTTACATTAATAGCATATAATAGCATATTTGTTGACCACTCTGTACCCCATAAGGAAATTTTGCATACCTTTAGAAGCATGGATTCGGCTGCATGAAGATCAAAATTCCGTGCTGCATAAAGTCATAATGCAAAAATTAAAAATTTAATGCTTAAAAATTTACAGAGTGCAACATGGAATAATTAGTAAAATTATTTAATATTTTACCCCTTAACCACCGAATAAGGTAGATATCTTCACGCATATAATCATGAGTTAGATCTGAGTCAACTAATTCTCGAAACTAATTATATAAAGTTGACATTCATAAACTAAATAATTTAAATTACAACAAAAATATTACTGGTTTATACCTTATCTAACGCTTGTTTTTGATCCCAAGTAATCGACAAGTCTTGTTCAATAGTAACTGACAATGTTTTATTAACATAAAACAAGAGTAGCACGAAATATATTTCTTGGCAAAAATGCATTATGATTGGCAACTTATTCTGGATACTGATTGATGGATTTCAGCTTGAAAAGTGTTAACAGTGTCGGGCAGTAAATTGCATTGAATGACAATGAGATAGTTGCAGACAGTTTATGAGCAACTCAAGATATTTATTAAGGGGTGAAAGCCCTTTATAAGATCGTTATGTCCGTCCGTCTGTCTGTCTGTCTGTCTGTCTGTCTGTCCGTCCGTAGCTCCGATAACTTTTGAAAGGAAAGACATAGAGACTTGAAATTTTGAACGTTAACTCCTAACGTCAAGGGACAGGACAAGTTCGAAGATGGACACTTTGACAGTGATATCGTCACAGTGACGAAAAGTGACGAAAAAGTGTCACTTGTCAGTTTTGACATGTGACACATCATTTTTAACTATTTTTCAATGAGGAATTCGAAAATTCATGTCATTTTGTGTTTGGACGTCACCTGTGACGATGACATCGTCACGGTGACGAAAAGTGACGAAAAAGTGTCACTTGTCAGTTTTGACATGTGACACGTCATTTTTAACTATTTTTCAATGTCAAATTCAATGGTGACCTCCATTTTGACCTCAGAGGTCATGTAAAGGTCATAGGACATATCTATTTCAATTTCAACTGAAATTTAACCCCGAATTCAATGGTGACCTCCATTTTGACCTCAGAGGTCATATAAAGGTCACATAAGGGTTATCAACTGTTAAATTTGACACAAATAAGACACAAAAGTCGAAAACACGTCAGAAGTGTCAATCTTAACAAATTTTCGAACAATTATTTGATATTCACATTGACGTATGACACTCCTTTCACCCCTTGGTTACATGCGTTGTAACGGTTTATTGTTACCAAATCTCACATGACGCTTGTTATCCAACCAATGCCAAAGAATAAAAAATCTGTAACAAGACAAATAAAAGTTTCATGGAAGGTTAGCTTAATTGCGTTTAATTGAGGTATCGTCTGACCAATAATTATACGGGCAGGATAATCTTTTATTTCATCGTTATTTTATTGTCTTAACAAGGTACTTTTATTTATTTACATGGTCTACCTGCAGACATGTCTTGGAATACGTAAATTGAATGTATTGGATTTTATATAATTTTCCTGTTTTTTTAGAGCCACTTATCTTACTCCATTTTATTTTACTTTACTTGTTTTACAAATGAACAACGTGACTACATATGTATTTATATTGATTAAATATGAAAACGAGATCCTAAAAAACTGGACACATTTTTTTAGCATAGATATGTAGCATCTTCAGCATTTAATTTTTGCAGATGTTCATGCAAAAGCTTGAATTGTTTTTTTGCATGCTGTTTAAACTGTTACATAAGTAATTCTAAGTTTAATTATATAATATGAAGTCAAAAAGTCACGGAAATGAGATAAAGGCGAGGAAGATTTATTGCTCAATCATTTGAAAAATATACATCATGATTTAAGTAGGTTATAAAAATATATTAAGTCTACTGAAATCTTGAAAGTATCAAAAATTCGTCTTGTGCGTGTTTAAGATTTTTATTTGCACTCTGGCCTTTCATACTTTTGACATTCTCCAGTCGTTTGTCCGTGCTCGTGAGCCTTCTTGATTTCCATACTCACTGGACTATCACGAACCAACTCGTTGTCACTCAAGGACTCAACCAAGCCTAACAAGTCGATTTCATCCTCATCCTCTCCTATTTTTTTCTCCTTCTTTTCTTTCTTTGAAGAAACTGCTTTGCGACAAATTTGCAACTGCAAACAACTCTGGGCAGTAGTCACATACTTCTTGGCATAGTTGGACACGGTCGATACTAAATTTCCAAATAATTCCGATGGGGCTACGGAAATCGCCGTACCGTTGACCTTGTCATTGCTCCGACCTTCTCTACGAGACGACTTTTCCCTTGCTGTAGTATCTGCTTAAAATATAAATATTTAGACATAATTCTGAAAAACAATTCATTTGTCAAAGAATTTTAAAATCGCACCTTTCCGATTATGATTATGAACACCATTGTACTCATAAAAGTCCTGATAACCAAACGGACGGTTTCCAACATGATCCTCATTTCCAGACCAGCCGTCTCCATTGTCCGGTCCAAAGTTGTTGCCACCATGTCCAAAATGTCCACCCAAGAACTGGTCTAAAATTCCGGGAATCCCATGTGGCAAAATGCTGTCCAGCAGTGAACTTCCCCATCCTCCACCAAATCCATTTCCTCCTCCTCCCCCAAATTTGCCAGGATGTAAGAGTCCAGGGACTAGAAAGAATGCTCCAATTCCAACGACTATTGCTGCAATGAGACCTCCCAAGTTCAACTTAAGAATGTTTGAGACGTCATTTTGCCCTCCACCTCCTCCTCCGTAGGACTTCCCAGAGAACGTATTGATCAGCTTGTCCGTCGAGAGTGAGACGAAGGGGACGGTGAAGGCGAGGCCGAATTGAAGGTCTGGAGGAGTTTTCTGAATTCCAAGCGGACTTCCGAATCTCGCCCCTTTCGAATCCCCACCAAACAAATCACCACCTCCTCCTCCAAGACCAGGAAGCAGTGATCGCTTCAAATTAGTCGCAGACGTTCCGGTGGTTGAATTGGTAAACTTTCGCCCAACTTTGGCATCTTGATCATCAATTTGATGAGATTGTTGACGAGATTCTTCAGCATCCAGCGTTTCACTGGATCTGGGTCGCTTCCCATTGTTGTTGTTGCTGTTATGTCGTCTACTTTCTGCCTCTTCGGCATAACTTTCATTCCTCTGGAGTGACCTGTAGCTCGGATATTTCAAGTGTTTAGGTCTGTGGAGAGATAACAGAGTAACAATGTTTTACACAATTATGATTAAAACCCTTAATTAAATATGGTGACAATCTCTTTAATTGTGTCCTCATTATCATTAATTTTCATTTTCATTTAACTTTCTCTTATGATGACGATGCTACAATTAGCAGGCAATTTGCTGCATATGTCGAGCAAATTGTTTGTGGTCAGTGACTGTATTACATGTATTATCTCATGCATGTCGCCAAAACTAATTATTTTAGCTTCCGTGATCTCTGAATGCAAGTGTTTAGAAATTATCTGACGCGGTGTGCGACGACAAAAATGTGTTATACTAATATTTTTGTTTTAATTTCAGAAATTTAAATTTAATTTTGCATAATTTACGAGAAGTGTTAATAGACGTGATAAATACTTTGTTGCCTATGAGGTGACAAATTTCTTCTAAATGTCTATCTATATCAAAATGCGAATTTAGTAAACTATTATTATTTACAAACCTCTCTAACTTTTGCTAAAATTTTGTGAAAAAAATTCAAATATGCCAATTCGTTTAATGCAATCGTTCTTAGAATTAATTAAAAAAAAAATATTGACAAGAAAATAATAAATTTCTTACCTCACAATTGTGATATCCTTTGGAGATCCATCTATTTGTGCTTGGCATAAAACTGCCAAAATTATGACTACCAGTGAAATAACGGATAACAATATAGTACCACCACTTCCACAAAATTCTCGATTTCCTCGCCACATTGTGCGATTTTTTTTTGCGATACGATATATATGCTTTTCGAATGTATATGCCCGTGTACGAAATAATGTTTCAGGCGTCGACAACTAAACTGAGTCCGTGATCCATGTAACACTCAGTTTTATAAAGATTAAAAAATTTCTCTCAATTTCACTCTCGTTTCTTATAATAACGATGACAATGGACTTTATCAACAAGTATTGTTATGTAAAGTTAAAATAGGATTACGGAATAATTATGATGGATGAGATCAGCAATAGCGGAGTGGTTGTGGTGGTCTGGGTGGAGGGTGCCATGACGCCACAACGTTCATACATACGTGGCGTTGCACCACCATTGTCCCATTCGGCGTGGGGATAAGAGTGGCTGGCTGGCTGGTGGGTGGGTCTCTGTGTGTCGTGTGTGCAAAGAAAATGAAAAACTGCCTCGGTTCAGAAGATTTTGAAGCAATTAGTCACGTTATTAAATGTTCATGTCACAGCAATTATGCTCGTCGTACCCCTTTCAGATTATTATGCTCGTCATGGATGGCTTCCGGTCGCCGTGGCCTCATCACAAGAAGACACAAACAAACAATGCACTTTAGCAGCATCAATACAGTAGCAGAAATGCCATATACAATATGCCACCACATATCATATCCACCACTTGGCAAAGGAAATGAAAAAAGTGTATCCATTATTATTGAACACAACTAATTGGTGCACTTTTAATATGTGTGCGTCTAAGCTATGTAAAAGTACTCCACTTCTTTGACACATGTGTACCTCGTTTCCTTCTTTGCATTTGTGTATTGTCACCAACAAGCAAAATTTCAAAACGTTGCAAATTATTAAGCGACGGTTTGATTTTGTGTCATATTTAAAGTATGAACAGTACACTGCATCATGAGAGGCAGAAAAGGTTTTTTTTTATTACACGTTATATTTATTTTTAGTTGTTACGTGATTATGAGAGTTGAGTTAATAATATCGTTGAAAGTAAACTTTTGACTAAATTGCTTTTCACTTGAACATGTTTCCTTTGAACCGTTAACGACAGTGGGTTGTGCATAGGTACAAATGTATGTATGTAGTTGAATAAGATATTGCAGTAACGTTGTTTGAGATGATGGATAATGATGTAAGAACTATGGTTGAAAGTGATTGATATTGTTTTATGTTGCCAATTATTTTCTTTTTGGAATGCAATTATTTATTATAGGACAAAAGAAGGAAAACAAGTTGTAAGATTTTTATTTTATTGGGAACATATTTTCTGGAAATTAAATGAAAGTTGTGTGATCATTAGTTTTGCAGAATTCAATAATTTACTTCGTCATCGACGTCAAGGTAGTACATCCCCTTTGTTTTGGAGTCACAATACTCTCCAAATGCAGCTTTGTCCTCACAGTCGCATCCGTTCTTGAAGTGTTTGTAGTCGTCGCAGGAACAGGCATACATTTGTGGTTGAGCAGTAGAGATGGACTTGGCAAAATAGAACGGGGCTCGGTTGTGGCTACAGGATCCCATTTCTGCAATTTATGTATCAATGGAATTTAATACTATTTTGTCGATAGTTAAATGGAGAAAATTGGGTCATGCATATGTTGCGTACCTCCCATCGTCCTATTTTCTCCAGCCTTGACGAATTCATTGTAACAGTAGGGCTGAAATGGGCCACCACCATTGGGGTAGAAGTCAACATTTCCTGTGAATTTATTAATTATTAAATTTGTCGGTGGGAATACAGAACTGGTCCAAATGTTGATTGAATTAGTTTAATTCGCTTGCCTAACGTTGACAATGTCCCGAATTCTCCTTGGTTGGAGTGATACACATCAACAAACTTGGCACAGTCTTTTCGCAATTTTGGAGATGATATGGCCTTGATCTCAAAGTAAAAGTTGGGACCAGCAGGGTCGAGTCCTAAGAAATGGAAAAATGTTTAATAGAGAATTGTCTTACTTTTACTTTTCAATAGTTGAATCAGGATCACTTGCCTGTGATTCTTGGAATTTTTTCTCCCGACAAGTTGAATATGGTTGTTCCTGCATTTCCAGAGACGTGTGCTCCCAGAGAGAAACCGACAATGTGGACCTGCATTGTTCAAAATATAATATTAGCATTTTTTTAACAAGTTTTTGACCAATAATTGTAGTTTGCTTACTTTTTTGTAACTTTCTAGTCCTCCATTTTGTCGAAGAAAATGTACCATCTCGCCCACGCGTTGACCAACGACTTGGACATTTCGTACTGCGAAGGTGTACATGAGGAGAAAATTAGCATTTCCTGAAAGTTTGGGATCAGCCAATGGTGCCCAGTCCACGATCAACACATTGTAGCCTTCTGCATTCCTATCCCGTTCCAATCTTCTGCGATACTCGGATAAATAAGCTGTTTGTCGTAAAATAAAATACCGGATTAATTACTTCTTAAATGCATGCATTAAAAATACTGAGTAAATTTGGTCTTACCGTTTTTCACATTTTGAGGAAAAGTCCCAAACTGAGACATGGTGTATCCGTGAATCAAGATTTTCCATGTAGATCCAAACCTGTATCTCGCTTTTGCTAAAGACTCGACATTGTTGTACACGATTTCTTCAAAGTAATCTCGATTGCTGTGGATAAAATGACAAGATTAATTTTAATTATTCGCACAACTCACTGTCAATTTAAAGTCATAAATGAGTGTAGGGTAATTACTAAGGGTCGGGATACAGAAAAAAGCGGACTTGATTTGGATCCCCAGAAATCAAGTTCTCTGTCATATTTTGAGCCCGAGTTTGGAAGTAGCTCCACAATTTGGTGAAACAACGTCCCCGTCTTGCTGAATTTTCCTGGCCATCTTCTTCTAAGAATGTATTAAAAATAGGAATCAAATTAAATCAAGTTTATCAACGGGATTGTTTTTCATAAAAAAACTGTAATCAACTTGGACAAATTAGCACGTTGACGTACCCACGGGATGCAGAAATGCTTGGTTAACTAGTACAACGAAGAACAAAATATGCAACAATTTCCACATCTTCAATCTGTAATTCCGAAGGTGAACTGAAAGGGAAACTTGCTTCGGAAATCTTTTATATCGACCTACGTGACCTACATTGATCCCAAGAAATTTGAACGAGACAATGCCAAGGGTACATCCCTTGACCTTGACAATGCACTTTATTACCTCACTTTCACTCTTTTTAAACGCAAATCCACCTCCGCCTTGTTTTCCACCTTATTCCATTCACCCTCACCTTCTCAGACAATGTCACTTCAGGAAAGGGACTGTCATGCAGGGCTTGGAAATGATTTTTACCAAAACTTTGTCATTTTAAAGATAAGAATGCTTTAATGGTTTCTAGATCCAGAGAAGAGATTGTCCAAGTAAAGAATAGTACACATACAAGGAAAAGGTCGCAATATGCATTCGTCATTTAATGGATGTATGTTGTTCATCTTGAGTACCGTACATACATAAACAGTAGTTTCCTTAAACAACCTCAGTTTTTAACGCAACGTTCCCTGTTTCATATTGTTATTATTACTAAATTTAAGTAAAATAATCCCGAGAACATATTTTGTTCCATCATTTGCTGAGTGGTAAACGTCTTTATATCATAATTTGATATTACAGTAAATGGAAAAGTGTACCTAGACCAACGGATAACGCTCAATTTTGCTGAATCGAGGGAAATAAGTTTCCCATCTTGAAGAGAGAAAGCTCTGAGTGTCCTTCGCTCTGTGATCGAGTCAGCTCCTAAGAAAACTTTTTAGATCTAAACTCAAATATCACAATCTGTCCGTATTTTATTTCTTGAATGTGTCAAATCATTGGAATCATGACTGGAAAAATGGTGATCGTTAAAAATAATGAAAGTACTTGTCTGTCAGAATATATGTATATATCCAGAGTACGACATCCCTTCTGCATATGTTCGTATTAGTATTCGTATCATTCATATCAAACCTACCTACCTGGAAATCAACAAAAATGCAGGAAGCGTGCAACCACGTGGAGAAGAAAACAAGTTTATTCATTGTCAGCATCCTTTGAGTTGGCTGGATCAGTTTCGGATATGGATCTCTTAATCCTCATCCAGCGCAGTAATCAATGAATAGAATGGACACTAATTTTTCTCCAGGTGACATTTTTTATCACTCCGCCACACATTTATCATGCCATAGTCTCGTCTCATTCGGATGGAAGGATGGTCAACCCGCATTTTTACTCCCACCCGGTGTGCATAATGCGAAACCTTCTTTCTCCGTATGCATAATGCCAGAGACCGGTTGGACAACTGTCCAGATAATTCTTTTGTGAGTCAATCACATTATGTAAATTAGCCAGCTGCTTAACTTCCTCATTTTCTTTTTGGAGTTTCGTGTCTATTTGTGTGTGGCAAATTCAATAAACTATGATAATTGTGAACCCTCGTTTCTGTGTAGATATGTTTGCCACACGAGGAATGGAGATTGGTGGTGGTAGCGTCGGTTGGATCACTGCTTGGCGCATTTCTGTAGAGATATGACACCCGAGGAGTGGGAGATGATGATGCTTTACTTGCCGAGAGGAGTAAGTGTGTGTGTGGGGATGAAAAGGCGGTGTATCCATTTTATTAAAAATAAGCACTGTATGAAATCAATCATACGAATTCAATTCAAATCCTTCGTTTTAGGAGTGCACAAAAGAAAAACTGCTCCTTTGTCTGGATTCCTTACTGTGCATGCATTGGTGGTGGTGGTGGTGGTGGAGGAGATAGATAGTGGTGCTGGAGGATAGATGATGTATGAGTTCGAATGGCTTTCTTCTGGTGCTCGAGAAAAATTCACAAAGTTCGTGACATGAAGAAGAGTAGCCTTCTTCTTCTCCCAAGGATGGGTGGGTATATTGCGTAAGGCTATTTGACAAGAGGGGCACGAACGCGACAGCTCTCAGTGTTGGTGGGGGGAATGTCGTAGGAAACGGAAAGAACAAAATGCATGAATTGGTCCAAGAGGAGCGGATATGAATATGGATGGCTGTTGGCTGAGCTGAAGGGAGAAGGGAAGTGTAATTGAAGATTTGTGATGTGATGTATGGGGCTAATGTGTGATATTGACATGTCGCCGTTTCTTTCTTAAGAAGCCCAAATCCCATCTCACTAAAAGCTTTCCAGGGAGCGAGACGAAGGTGGCCATTTGGAAATTTAATATCGCCGTCTCCTTTTGAGACTCTGGACTTTTGATAAGTCACCCGTGTGCAAATAAATACAGATGCTTCTTCCTCTGCAGTCAGTCAGGTGCACACTTCGCTAATTGGAATTTGACACGGCTTGCTTCTTTGTATCAGGTTCACGAGGAGGATGATGATGATGCCTTCCCTTTAACACCACCACCACCACTTCTCGTCTTCCTTTGTCCCCATTTTTCCACACAGATTCGTCCAACTACGGCAAGTATCAATGGTGACATCCGTACGTGTAGTAGAATGGGGGCTCCTTTTGGGGAAGAGATGTGAGGACGTGAGGACCACACTTTTGGTGGCAAGACCGATAATGTGGCATTAGGGGGAAAGGTGGGAATTTAATGAGTTATTTGTCCAGTGGAGGAAAGCAACGAGGTGGTGGATGGATGGATATGTGTCTGTTTATTCCTCTCAAGGGACGATGCGAAGTAAAATTGAGAATTCGCAAGTTGACACATTCCCAGAAAAAAAACGTCACAAAAATCCCTATTTATGGACACTGTCGCTCTCTTTCCTTTATTGCCCATTTTATGTTCCCTAACACAACCACCTATTCCCATTGCAACAAATTTCTTCTTTTCCACTCATCTCATCTCTCTTCCCCGTCTACTCAAAATCTTTAACAACAACTTCAATCCAATAGGAACACTATGCATGAGCACATGTGTACATACATACGTATGCATGCACATCTCGGCGTCTCGTGATGCCAGGGATTTTTTAATTTGTGCTCTGGGTGAGTGACTGAGTGACAACATGAGAGAGAAAGAGAGGAGGAGGCTGAAGAAGAAGGAATTGTCAGCTAAGCATGCACTACATAATTTGGAAATTGAAATTTGGCTTGTCATACATGGCTGTGCGGTGAAAAATGATGTTGAAAAATGGAGACTTGTGTTGTTATTGTTATTAATCTCGGTCGAGAGTCTGCTTTTGAAACAGAAATCACCCTTCGCAAAAGGTGAGTGGTAGTGACAGTGACAGGTGGAATGGATACTGGTGAGACTCCGACGAATAATGTACATTGCTCTCTAACAGCAGCAGCATCAGCAAAAGTAGTATGTATGCCGTTGAATGGAGCAAGCAAAACCTCTCTCGAAATCTGGAAGCGTCTCGTCAAATATGGCGTCATTTCTTGGGTCATCTAAATACGCCTACATGTGTACGTACGTACGTCGTACGTGTGTGCATGCACGGGGATCAACAAAATGCACCGAATTGAGACGAGGCGAAAATAAATTAGCTTTCGGTTATGGTGAGCATTCCAAGCAGCATTATTTTTTTAATTTGCCTCAAACAAAAACCATATTCCAATAAAATCTCTCATCTTTTAGTTCTCCACTTGAAAAAAAATCTCAAGTGCGTACACATATGTGTACGAGAAGCATAACTCTAAATTCCAAATTTTGTTTCTCTTCCCTGAGTGGCTCTTTAAAGCAGGGATGAGCTGCTTTCTTCCGAAATCTAGAAAAACTACAAGATCGACAAGACGAAAGAGCATGAGGCTGATTTGTGGTTGGTTGGTTGGTAGGTTGGCTTTGGTGAATTTTCAAGTTTTCCTTCTGGTGAATTTTCCACGTTGGACGATATGCTTGCTTGTGTATGGAGGTTGAGGTCGGAAGATGAGGATATGATGATGGATGGGGAATGGTGCTTCGAAATTTGGATTTACACGATATTCGATGAATAGATATGAGAGTGATTGGATGGGGAGAAGGAGAAGAAGGGCGACCACTGCTACGCGATATGCATGTACGTCTTTTCTTATTCTTATGCGATGGTCATGAATTTCAAGTGTATCACAACAACATTTCCCTTTTTATGTATTTGTGATCCAACCATTTAAATATGCAGAGTTGTCCATTTTATTTGAATGCTCGAGCTGGTTGAGCAGTGCGGAGAAAGCAGAGTCAGAAACGTGTGTGTATGTATCGGTATTGTTTGGAGATTGGTGATGTGGTGCTCAAACGTGTGTGTGTGTTTGTGAGAGGAGGGATGTAATATTTCTGAGTGGTTTAAAGGAGAAGGTGGAAGGAGAAGTTTCCAATTTGGTTGGTTTTGTGGTGGTGGTGGTGGGAAAAGATATGTGGAAATTGATGTGCAAAGAGTGGAGAGAGAAATAAGGTTTATAGGGAAAATATTATTAGGAATATTATTCACTTCCGCTCCCGTGACTTTCTCTCTCCGCCATGGTGGACCACCCCGAAGTCATAGTCGCAAGAAAGAGTCGACGACGACGACGACGAGGCGGCGGATGCCCATCATATTTCCCTGGTCGAGAAAGCATATGAAAATATGAAAATCCACTCCACTCACTCCAACCAGCCAACCCATCCATCCATAATATTATTACGCAGCCTATGCATCTATTATCCACATGTCGACTCCACTACTCTGCCCAGATTTCTCTGGAATAAAAACACAATCCGACTCCTTATTTTCCACCAACTCCCGTCATCCAATCCAATGTTGTTATTGGGTATCGATACTCTCTCGCTTTGGTCGTGCAGACTCTGATTCCTCCAACGCCGACTACTTTCTCTGGTCGTAAATAGGTAGGCATGGGTATGATATGTGTCGGCATTTTATGCTTGTGTTTGTGTGTGGGTTTTTTCATAGGGAGCAGCGCAGCCGAGGAG